GAATTTTATAATAAAAAAGGGGCGTTATTTGTGTTGGACCCTGTAACACTGATAAAAAGAAACATAGGGACAGTGGCCATTAGTCTGCTGTGCTCAGGTGCTTCTAGACCTTGGGCATGGCCAAGGACAGGCCAGTGCAGTGCAGCTGTGGACAGCAAGGCAAAGAAAGCAGCACTGTTGGCACAGTGAGGAACTGTGCCTGGAACCTGAACTTCAGATCCAAGTTCTGCTAAAGGCACTTTAGGTAATTTATACCTTACAAGGTAAAAATGCAGGAAGACTTTCGGGATACTGGTGTTGGAAACATAAAAGCCTTTTTTGCATCTTGGCAGGATCTTAAATACTGGCACACAGTCCAAACTTATTGTATGCCAGATAGATCATTTAATTCCAGGGAAAATGTGTAATATTATAAAATCTGCTTATATTCTGATGCCAACCCCAACTAATATACTGAAATTTATTTCTGGTATTAATGACCCAGAGTTATCACATGTTCAAGGACATGCTCCACAGAGAGACTGTCCTCACTTCAGACCAACTGGCTACCAATTCAGGGGCTACCCACTAGCATGTCTCATAGTATATTTTTGTTAGGAAAAAAACAACTCAGGAACAGTCAATGAAGACCCACGCAGGGCGAGGTCCAGGGGGCTCTCAACTGCAGAATTTCCATGCCCCCTCCTCGTGGAATCAGGGCATGTCACCTTCCTGGCACCTCAGTGTGTTCACCAACTAGGAAGCTCCCCTGAACTTCAGTGTCCACAGTTCCTCCTGGGGCTTCATTACATAGGCACGACTGATTTAATCATTGGCTATAGTAATTGAACTTGATTCTCTGTCCCTTACTCCCTCTTTGGAGGGGGGGGCTACCTCTAAGTCCCAGCCCTCTAATTATGTGGCCAGGCTTCTAGCCCCCATCCTGAGTCATCCCATCTTGTAGCATAAACTCAGGTGTGATCCCAGGGGCTCATGAATAAGAAAGACAATCATTACTTGGAAAATTCCAAGCACCTAGTCTTTCAGGAACCAAGGACAAAGGCCAACCAAAGTTTAGCATACAACAGCTTACAAAACAAGGGAAAATGTTGTCCTTAAATGGATGCCCAAATCTATTCGACAGAGAGAGTGTCATTCTGAGTTTTAGAAATATATAAAATAATGTAACTGGAAAATGGTAAGAGGGAATTGTAACCCACCCCACCATTCTGTTGACATTGTTGCTGTAAGTGCTGACTCTGACTAATATGCAGCTTGTAGACGAACAGCATGTTTGTATAAGAGTCCTAGGAACTAGTATTAAAAGATACAGACTCCAACCATCTGCCATCTCAGCTCTGGGAGATTTGCTGACCTTGGCCATGGACCCGGGATGACGTGAAGGCGGGATGACTAACCCGGAATGATGCACACCGGACCATCACCCCCCTCATGGGAATGGACTGTGCTCGTCTGCACGCAGAGCACTTTTCAATCCCCTCCCTGGATCTCTTTGTTCTTCTGTTCCCCTCTCCCTCCTTATAAAAACCTCTGCCTCCACTGAGAGGTGGAGATGGGCTTTGAGAAGTGAGACCCCGGTCTTCCCAGGAGATGGACTTTGAGACAACAGTCCTCCATCTTCTAGATGGCCAGCACGGGAAAATAAACCACTTTCCTTTACATCTGCACCTGCCTCTCAAGTACTGGCTTTTGTAACGACAGGCAGTTGGACCTGCTTTTAGTTATAATAATGGGAAATTAGTGCTAGAAGAGCCCCAAGAAATAAGCTCTTTGCCAACACTATTAAACTAGTTCAGGACATATATGATTAGTTTTGTTCCAAAACTTGCTGTTATCTGGAACTTAGAAACCTGTACTTTTTATAGGGACAGTCTTACCCAGTAGGTATTAGTTCTCAGTCTAGTTTACAAAATTTAATAGTAATCATCCAATAGTTATAATGATGGCATTTATTGAGCTGGAAATCTGCTGTGTGCCCATGTATTATTCTAGATGCTAGGAAGTAGTAAGGGTAATATGTTTGAAAAAATGGAAGAAGATGAGGAACCTGAGTCCAAAGCCACATGACAAGACATTAACTTTATCAGTCAGCTACAGACTCTTAAAAACATAAGTAGCCATTGTGCTCCTGGATAAATATTCTGAGAAAAATAATGGCCTCTGCATTGTAGTGGGAAATATGAGGAAGAACGCTGTGTGAAAAGGCTTAACACAATTTGCAATACTCAGCAGTTACTCAATATATAGTAAGAGAGAAACAAAAAACTCATGTAAGGCAGGATTCAGTCTATGGCACTAAAGTGGATATAGAACTTAGCATAAAATAAGCATAGAACTAGAAGGAGTAATGCGTTTGGCCCAGTTGTTAGAAGGTGGTGGAGAGAGAGGGCTGTATTTTAGCATGTGGTCAAGGTCTAGGGCAGTAGAGGTGAACTGTCCACAATGCACGGTTGTGCGCCAGGAATGTGCAGCCCAGTGGGGTTTGTTTGTTCGTTTTTCTTAAAGGATAATTAATAGAGCAAAATACACAAAATCTCGCTTAAAAAGCATTGGACAGTCATTTATTCAGTGGCCAGTGCCAGGCACGATGCTGGGCAGTGAATGCAAGTGAATCATGCGTGGTTCCTTTCTGCGTGGAGGAAACAGTCCAGGGGAAAATTACTTTTGTCACAGCTGGAAGCATAGTGCAGGCTTGCCCTTCAGTGTACGGTTTAATGCATTACGACACTAAGTAATGTTACAAGAAACATACACAGCTGATAGAAACAATGTGCTCAAAGAGTTTAGTGAGACATGAAAATGTTATATGCAGCTTAATGCAAAGTGGAAGTTCGTCTTCTTTGTAGCCATCTTTTCCGTTATATTAAACTCCCGAAGTTCCAGAGCTCTCAGCAGCTTCCTTCAATGTCATACCTTTCTTTTTTGTTTGTTTCCAAAATGTGAAGCTTTAGGCCCAAATTGTTGGAAAGCATCAGGATTACCAGTTATTTCAAGGAAATTTGTTGGATTTCAGAACACATAGCATGACTCTGAAGGATAGATACCGTTATATGTTTCACATGTTGAATATGAGTAATTACTGTTTATGGCAAGGACATGACTGTTGAATATTCAGAGAATCATTGTTAATTTTAAGACTAGCTATTTCCGCATTGAATAAAGTGCACCAGGTTGACTTGAATAAAAACCCTGTGGCGACCAGGTGTGCCAGTTTGTAGAAACTGTCTAACTCTTTTTTCTCTCTCATCAAGTTTTGTAAAATTTAAGTGGAAAATAACATACAGTTTAAACAAAAACTTAATTTCTGACTGTTTTTTAAACATATAGCTGGCTGTCTAAGAAAAAAATGATCTATACAAAATAATTTTCTGAATTATTTTAGTTTTTTCTTTGTAGCAATGGATGCTAAATAATTTTGGGCATTTTTTATTATAACTTGTTTCTTTTTTATTCTTAAACCTGGTAACATTGGATTGCCTTCTTATAACCTATTTATTTCAGGTGTTCATATTCAAATTTCTTTGGGGAGAATGAAAATCTGATGGCCCATGGATTTTGAAAAGCCTGAATAAAATTGCAAAGGATGGTAAAGTTGAGAGAGCTCACCAACTAAACTGCTATAATATACAGTTTGTATTACAAGTGGTAACCTGGAAGGGAAAAGTAAAACTATTCTTAAAATAAGAGCAACTTTTTACAGGCAATACATTACCCTCTTCTGAACTTCAGTAGCAGCTATATCAGTGGTGCGATTGAACTTGGGTGTACTTATAATATTATCTTCAACATTGAAAATAAATTCAGGTCTGCCCTTTTTCTCTAAAATATCAGTGAAATTTTGGACTATTTATTACAGGGCCACAGTAGACCTTCTCATTGGTGAAATAATGCGGTATTTACTGGTAACCCTAACATACAGGGTACAGGTTTATGCTCCCACCCAGATTTGTGATGAGCAGATTATGTGATTGGAGAGCACAGCCCAAGCATTAGCGGTTGACATTTTTAAGACTGCTGTTTAAAAAGCTTTACACCTGTGTATAATTTAGAGATGAAAAAGCAGACTTCATTTTTCTTCTGTTTGATGAAAACTGGCTTAAAATATGTATGAACAGAGTCAAGAGCAAAACTGCACAAATGTGCATGTTGAAAAGCGCAACCCGCTACTTTGAGCGTGGTACACACGTTTACTGTTCCAAAAAAGGGAAATAGGAGACTCGGCCAGGAAGAGGGACTTTGAAGTGAACCAGTTGTTGGAGTTATTGGAATTCCCTGAGCCAAAGTGACTGTGCATTCTTCATCTCTCTAGCTAGCGTTTTGTGTCATTACATACAGTTTACAATTCCTGTCTACCTTGTAGCGATACACATTTTGTGCTATTAAAGTTCTCACGAAGCTCAAAAAAAGGAAGTTCACAGTAATGGAAATATTCTGTTATCACATATATAAATGGAAAACCTCTACTGTTGAATATACACATGGATCATGGTTAATTTTTTGCTCTTACAGTGTGTGTTGTGCTAAAGTAGTGATTTTTTAAAGATTTTATTTATTTATTTTTAGAGAGGGACGGGAGGGGGAAAGAGAGAGAAATGTCAGTGTGCCGTTGCTGGGGGCTGTGGCCTGCAACCCAAGCATGTGCCCTGACTGGGAATCGAACCTGTAAAGCAGTGATTTTTAAACTCCCAGTGCACAGTGGGGAGCTGATATGTATATGAAATCATGCCTCCCCTCAGTGCTTTGGGCTCCTCGCCTGTCAAAGGAGGAAGATGCCACTTATTCTCAGTTAACACGTAAAGCTCTGCTCAAAGATGTGTACCCCGCACTCTCTATTCACAGAGAGGGTAATTAGGCTAACGTGGCGCCCTTTTCTGAGACCTGGCACACATCTGGATGAGTGATAGAAAATGGTAATGCATTTTTAAAAATTCTCCTCGGAAAAGTAGTTACTGGACTTGCTAAGCATTCTGTGCTCTCACTGTTGCCCTTTCCTCTCACAGGTTACCCCTTCCCTACTGCTCCTCCTGTGGACCCGTTTGCCAAAATCAAAGTGGAGGACTGCGGAAAAACGAAGGGATGCTTTAGGTTGGTAGATCTGTGAGCTGGAAGACTTTAAGACTAAGATATTGATTTACTTCTCAGGGTAGCATCGAAATGGCAAGCCGTGCATTCTAACCCAGGGCCTGTACCCCTCCCTAACTTCAACTGCAATGTGGCCTGTTTCCCATGGCCTCCTCCGTTTTTGGTCTTAAAGGCCTTAAGCTCTCACACGCAGCTTGACACGGGAACATTCTTCATTTTTCACTGTACCGCCATTGGCACAGGTGTCTACTCCAGACCAATTGGCTGTATGAAGGAGAATCACGTGACACAGAATAGGTCCTTGCTCATTACGAGGGAGTGTGGATGGGACAGGCAATGATGGACATGTCTGATACCCAATTCCTTTTCAAACGGTCATGACTTACTGGTCTCTGTATGCTGCTACCTAGTCATTAAGCATTGATTAGTGTGGCCACCCTGTTATCTAGGGTGCAGTGAGTCCTTACATGATTATTGGTAGTGTTCTATCCGGACATGATGGGCTGGAGCTGGAGAACGGTGGTGCAGACTGTGGGCCTCCCACTTCGTTAGCTCTGTGCTGTTGGAAAAGCCTTCCTCTGTTTGAATTATTTTTTTCCTGAAACAAATTGTCCGTAAGCAAAGATTTCATTGACCGTTGCTCTGAAGTTTTTATTTTTATTTATTTATTTTTTTGGTTCAAGGCTTAAGGAGAAAAACTGAATTATAGGGGGTTTAAGCTTTCTTTGGATTACTAGGACATTTCTAAGGAATTTTTTTAAAATCCAATAATACTAATATTTAGGAAGATGGTCAGTAATATGTAATTCTGGTGATTGGGGGATATTTTTGAAAAGTGAAAGAATTTTAGTACCCTGTTGGCTTCGGAATGACCTGCTTCCTGTCTCATTCGTTTTTCCTTTAACTTTTTGTAACCTTTTTCACCCCAGTTCCATGTTTTCTGGAACTTACGTCTCATCCTGGCCGCTCAGAGTACCCGGCAGCTGAGTGGCCTGGTCCTTGCCTCCCTCCTCGATCAACACGTAGCAGATTCGTCTTGATCCTTCAGACACTTCCCATCCAAGTTCAGATGGTCCCACCCATTGCGACAATTTTCTGTCCTTCTGAAAATGGTGTAAAGCAGTGTTCCTCAAACTAGGCTTGTCAGTTCTTAAAGGATCCACAAGTTCTTTGTGAGAAAATGTAAACTTGTGTTTTCAAAACAGAAACAGCCTCACAGATGCAAGAACAGACTGATGACTGCCAGATGGGAGGGGGGTGGGTGAAAAGGGGGAGGGCTTAAGAAGTATAAATGGATAGTTATGAAATAGTCACGGGGATGTAAAGTACAGCACAGGGAAGGTAGTCAGTGATATTGTTCAATAATAACTGTGTGTGGTGTCAGGTGGGTGCTAGACTTACCAGGGAGATCACTTTGGAAATTACAGAAATGTCTAACCTCTGTGCTGTGCACTTAAGACTGATATAATGTGGAATGGCAAGTGTGATAAAAAACTTTTTAATTTTTTTAAATTTAAAAACTGTTCAGGTAAATTTAAAAATAAATAAAATAAATTTGTGTCTTCATTTCATTGATGCTTCTTTAAAAGATGAATGCATTCATAATCTGAGGATGTGGATAATCACCTTACACTGCTGCGTGCTTTAGTGTCTGAACCTGTAGTTGTGTTGGTACAAGTAGAGCAAATAGGCAAATTTTATACACAGATGAGGCATCCACACTTGGTGAGTATGGGATGAGGTGTTCCTTTGGTGCATTGGACATCCAAGGGTTTTGCAGCAGTTCAGGTGCAAGTGGAGGAGAGTGAATCATGTTGAACAGTAAGAACATGCTCAGTCAGAAGACCCTGCATGATAGAGTCAGACGTATTACATGCTTGAAAGCAGAATTTTACTTTAAGTAAAACTGCATCATCCATCACACGAATGATGCAAGTTTAAATGTCCCTGCTTTTGTAGTTTAGTTTACATGTATACTTAATTCACAACTTGGTATTAGCTCAATTGCAAATTTTAAAGTAAAAGGAACTGGTATACATTTAGTTAACAATAAATAATGTAAATTATTAAGTCAGAGCATCTTCCCCTCTAAAATGGATTCAGAAATAGTTCAGTAATAATTAGTATTTGAGAGACACTAATATAGTACACTAGAACACTGGCTGAGGGGTTGGAGGCGCAGGTTCAAGTCCTGCTGCAGCCACTGACTTACTGTGCAACCTCAGGAAAGCCCCTTCCCATCTCCGGACCCCTGTTTATGTGTAGATAAAGTGGAGCAGATCATCTCCGAGGTCCCTCCTAACTGAGTGAAATGGTTTTTGGGACCCCAGGGGGCAAAGATCCAATTTATTCAATAATGTCACTTAGCATCCTGCCTGATACATAGATGTTCTCTTAATGTATTTTGAATAAGAAGATGAAGGAGTGATGTGTGTTTTATTTATTAAGTGTAAGTCTTAGGTGCACAATTCTCTAACATATCATTTGTATATTCCATTGTGTGCTCACCACTCAAAGTACAGTCTCCTTCCATCACCGTATATTTGACCCCCTTTACCCTCTTGAGTAATGTCTCTTTTGATGTTTCCTACAGATACGGCAAACCAGGCTGTAATGCAGAGACCTGTGACTACTTCCTTAGCTACCGGATAATAGGGGCTGATGTGGAATTTGAGCTGAGTGCAGACACCGATGGCTGGGTAGCAGTTGGATTCTCTTCAGACAGGAAAATGGTAAGACACACATCATGCCAGAAGCTTATCTTTCTCTCTAGTTTGCTGTGTGACTTTAGAGTTTAGAGAACGGGTATGCTTATGTTTCTCTAAGCTACCATGCCGCTTTTAAATAGAAGATGATTTCTGGCATTTGATTGTCTTTTGCAAAGCATCACAAAGCAAAGACATTCATCAAAGCAGAATAATGATTATATTAGCATGGCTCTCTGGTTGCAAGTTAAAAATTCAAGCTAGCAAAACAGAAAAGGAAGGGTTGGTTATGAGAACACAAGATGTTTCATGGTACCTGCATTTATTAGCTATTTCCACAGAAATGCTGCATGAAAAGCCTCTCAAAGTACATGGTTTATAATAGTAAGCACTTATTCCTTGCTCACATGTGTGTGGATTGGCTGGGAATCAGCTGGGCTCCAGTCCATGGGTTGGATTCAGGTTTTTTTCCTAATCGTTCTGGAACCAGCAGGTACCAAGGCCTGTGATTTTTGTGGCAGAGGCAGGAGTGCAAGAGCAATCCAAACTTATTTCAAACTCTGCTCATGCCACAGCTGCTAACAATCCATTGCCCAAAGTCAGTCACACAGCCAAGCCCAAAATGAAGGGGCAAGGATGCACACTCCCCCTACCAAGAGGCCCTGCAAAGGTTAGGGTATATAATATCACTACAGGGGACTTGAGAACTGGGTCTAATAGTTCAGTCTTCCACTGTACCCCTGGGCAGGAACACATCTGGACCTCAGAAAGGACTGTGGCCAGGAAGAGCCGGGGCATCAGGAACCCAGGCAGCTGTCCATCTCCTGCCTCTGCTTCTCGCTGTGCCTCTGCTGTGTTCTTCCCTCTTTTCTCTGTAGCCCCATCATTTGCCACTTCCATGTTCCAGGGTGCTTCTGAAGCAGCTCGAGTTTATTAGGCCTCTGTACCTTTGCACATGCTGCTGCTCTGTTTAGAGGACCCTTTCTCTTCTCATTACCTGGCCTGCTTGAGACTCAGGCAGTGAGAAGAGGGCAGCTCAGCCCAGGATTACGGCACTGGTGGTAGTGAGTCATGCTCAGATTTTGGATGTGGTGTTTTAAAGGAGTTTATTTATTTATTTATTTTTAGAGAGAGAGGAAGGGAGGAAAAAGGGAGGGAAAGAAACGTCAACGTGTGGTTGCTTCTCACGTGCTCCCTGCTGGGGACCTGGCCTGCAACCCAGGCATGTGCCCTGACTGGGAATTGAACTGGTGACCCTTTGGTTCACAGGCTGGCATTCAGTCCATGGAGCCACACCAGCCAGGGCAGATTTTGGATATGTTTTGAAGGTCATGCATTAGGCTTTGCTAATGGATGATAGGAAGTTGTGAGTGGGTGGTAGGAAGAAACTGAGAGAGCAGTCCAAGCAGTCAGAGCTCCAGGGGCTTTGTTCTTGGAGACGTCACCAGGAGAATGAGCCTCCTTCCATTCCCAGCCCAGGCAGTAAGACAATGGGTCCAACTGGTAAGATGGAATAGCTATGAATCTACATCACCTATCTCCTACTGTAGTGTTGTGTCAGTGGGAGAAACAGGTGTGTGCCATGCCCAGAAGCTCGCTTGGATTGCAGTTGACTGTTTCCTGTCCTGAACTGTGTTTGCAGTCATGGTGCAGCTGTTATGATTATGGGGCTCGGAGCGGGGGTTTGATGGAGGAACATTCCAATATGATGTGCTGACATTTTGCTGCCTAAAGAGCTTTACAATACAGACCTCTTTCCTTCTCCTATTATTTTAAGAAGCACAGATTAATTTTTTTTAAAAACCTGATATGTTGGAAAACAAAATGGAACCCCTTTTAATTAGCCTTTAACTTTTTTGAAACCGTGCATTGTTTTCATATTAGACTTTATTGTTTAGAGAAGTTTTAGGTTCACAGCAAAATTGAATAGTTGGTTGGAGCATTGTCCCATGCACCAAAAGGTGGTGGGTTTGATTCCCAGTCAGGGCACATACCTACCTTGTGGGTTTGATCCTTGATTGGGGAGTGAGCGGGAGGCAGCTGATCAATGTTTCTCTCTCATATTGATGTTTCTCTCTCTCTCTCCTTTCCTCTCTCTAAGCATATCCTCATGTGAGGATTCAAAAACATTGAATAATGGGCATGGAAAATTTCTACACACCCTCTGCCCCCAAATAGACAAATGCCCCCCCCCCGCCATTATCGACATCTTACACAGAGTAGTGCATTTGTTAGAATTGATGAACAACTTCTACATTTTTTGACTTGTTTTGAAAAAAATTTTAAACCTACAGACAAGCTGCAAGGATAGTACAGTATTGTATATTTTACCTAGAGTCACCGAATAATAACTCTTTTATTGTGGTAAAATGTGCATAACATAAAATCTACCATTTTAACCATTTTAAAGTATACAATTAAGCCCTGGCTGGTTTGGCTCTGTGTATTGGGCATCACTGGTTCAATTCCCGGTCAGGGCACATGCCTGGGTTGTGGGCCAGGTCCCCGGTTATGGGTGTGTGAGAGGCAACCGATTGATGTTTCTTTGGGACATCAATGTTCCTATCCCTCTCCTTCTCCCTCTCTTCCCCTCTCTCTAAAAATAAATAAGTAAAATAATAAGTTAAATTTAAAAGAAATAAAGTGTACAATTCAGTGGCCTCAATTACATTCACAGGGTACAACTATTACCACTATCTAGTTCCAGAACGTTCCCACAAATGTTAACATTTTGCCACACCTACTTTATCTCTCTACTGCTTCTACTTATTATTATTATTTTTACTATTTTCTGGGAACTTTGGAGATGAAATCAATTTACTTATTAAATTCAGGAAGTTCAACACTGATCTGTGACTATTACCCAATATACTGTCCATTTTCAAATGTTGCCGGTTGTCCTAATACTGGTATTTATGGGAATTTTTACGTTGTGACCTGGGATTCTGTCTGGGAACACCACACCATCAGTTGTCATGCGTCTGTGGTCTTGTTTATTTTGAAATAGTTTCTTAAAAGCCTTTGTGTATGTAGTCTTTTATGACATTGACCTTTTTGATGATTATAGGACAATTTTTCTTTTATAGACCGACTCTCCATTTGGATTTGCCTGATTGGTTTTTCATGATTAGTTTCGTTTATGTGTTTTTGGCAGGAATATTAGGTAGATGGTAATATTCTCCTCTTGGAACATCACAACAAGAGGCAGTTGATGTCAGCCATTGTGATGCTAACTTTGGTCACTTGGTTAAAGCTTTTTAATGACATTTAAAATAATTTGGGGGATGGGAATTCAAATTACAGAGGCAATGGAATATATAGGGTCCAGCATAAATAAGGCCCCCTTTTTATTATAAAACCTTTTGTTACAAAATCATAAGCAAGTAATTCTGTAACATAACAGTATCACACTCAAGCACACCATGTGACATTTTAGGTGACATGTTCAAATTGCTGTCCATCTTGTGCAAGACATTCACATACCCTACCAAGCACACTCAAACAGGAGTTACTTCTGCCACACCCCGTATATTTCTGCGTGAAATTTCTTTTTAGCAGAAAAGTTTGCAAAAAAATGTTCTTCTTTGTTATTTTTCATGTTAGGGTGGCGATGACGTCATGGCCTGCGTCCATGATGACAATGGCAGGGTCCGCATACAGCACTTCTATAATGTAGGCCAGTGGGCAAAGGAGATTCAGAGAAATCCGGCCAGAGACGAAGAGGGAGTTTTTGAGAACAATCGAGTCACCTGCAGATTTAAGCGCCCTGTGAACGTTCCCAGAGATGAAACCATCGTTGACCTGCATTTGAGTTGGTATTACCTGTTTGCTTGGGGTCCGGCCATTCAGGGTAAGCTTACATTTTGGCATCTGGATGAAACACCAGACACCGCTGTGCTGGTGTTCATTATTTATTGGACAAGAGAGTGATAAGTGCTTGGAATAATATTTTTAAAAAGGAGAAATGATGCTGCCTTCAGAAGTTATAGTGGACTGATCACACACAGGGACATACACAGGGACAAGCTGTGCACAGGCATAGCCAGAACAATACAAGATAACATATGATGAGCTAAGTGCTTAAAGAAACAGGTCATCTGTCTGCTATTTGTGGGTGTGGGGGCTGTATTTTATTCTCACCATGTTCCCATGCATTCCTCATCATATCCCTGAGAGGTGTAGGTACCTTGTTTTAGCAAGATTAAGGAACTTGTGCAAGGCTCTATCACTAACTAATGAGAGAACTAATATTCCATCCTAGGTGTGTCTGACTGCAAAGTCAGTGATAACTCTTAGCCATTATGCTCTAAGTGTAAAAATTACTGAGCAGGAAAGGGCTTCTGGAGACATCTCTAGAGATTGACAAATGTATCAATAGTACTCATGTTGTGACTAAACTGATGGTCACAAATCCACCAAGTTATCCTTTAATTCAGCCCCTTACTCCTTGAATTTTATCATCTATAGAAATTGCCTGGCTGTGTTGTTGAAATGAAAGTCAGTCAGCAGGTCTGGGGTGAGGCCTGAGACTCTGCATTTCTAACAACCTTCCCAGTGATGCTGGTCCATTGATTGCCTTACTGTGGGTGACAAGGCTCTTCCACAACAAAGACCCGAGGATACCACGAGACCTTTGAGAGGCTGCTAAAATCAAATTACCCAGTGATAGCTCTGGCTGGCGTAGCTCAGTGGATTGAGCTCGGGCTGGGAACCAAAGTGTCCCAGGTTCGATTCCCAGCCAGGGTACATTCCTGGGTTGCAGGCCATAACCCCCAGCAACCGTACATTGATGTTTCTCTCTCTCTCTCCCTCTCTCTCTCTCCCCCCCTCCCTTCCCTCTCTAAAAAAATAAATAAAAAATATTTAAAAAAAAATTACCCAGTGATCAGCCCCAGCATTCCCGGGGTTGATCAGCCTCATGGCCTGACCAAAAATGGACCTGAGTTGTTTGCAGTCCAGAAGGAGAGTCTTCTGGCTCCTGGGAGCTGCATCTTTCTTTACCGTGTGCTCATTAACTGTGTGTTAATGCCTGATCTGCCTTTTTTTTTCCGTCAAATTGTTTCCACTGATAGTCTGAAGATTTCATACCTTTTTTTTTTTTGCCTGTTTCTATTTAGGAAAACATTTGGATGCCTTCATAATTGTGACATTTTTCCCATTTACTTATTTCCCAGATTACCAACAGTGGATCTGCAGTTACATCTTTTAGTGCCCTGGGAAATGAATTATATCTTAGCCTGGGGAAATGAACTCATTTAAAATGATGTGCTTTGGCATCTAAAACTCTGGATTTGTGCATTATTTTTGCCCCTTGGTAGCTGTGTCGAGCCTTTATCTAAATTCTGAATTCCAATTTCTTTATCTCTAAAATGGGGATAATAAAGATACCAACTTTATAGGCTTATTGTAAGCATGAAATGAAAACAAGTATTTGAAATTGCTTTACAAACTGGAAAGTGCTGTACTTCAGAAGGTCATCTTCTTACATATGTGGCATAATAGTCGACATTTCAGGCCTTCCTGCCTGGCCTGATAACATCGCTCAGGACTTCTGTTCTGCTCATTGTCTCCAAGCAAAACAGGCACATCCCCACCCCATAGTCAGGCTCCTGTTCTTCCTGTCTCTTGAATGCCCTTCTAACACCTCTCTGTTGATCAGAACTTTTCATTCTCTTAAGGTCTCTCAGAGGTGATTGAAGCAGGGTGTGGATTAGATTTCCCTTAAGGGAAGCATGAGCTGCTTGGTTAAGCCTAGCTGTCTGTGTCAGTGATCAAGGAGCCAGTTAGGTAGGACAGGTGAGAGGGACATGTTGAGAGGAAATTCTCCTGCCAACCGGTGGAGTTTGATGTGTGCCAACAGGAGCCAGCATGGACACTGGGACAGGGAATCGATGTCACGTTCGGCACGGCTTCCCTAGCAGATGGGACTTTAAAAACCCGCACTCTGAGCTCTATTTCCAAACAGACCTTTGCCCTGAGCTCTTCTGCCTTAGTTTCCCTAACCCAAGTTTCATGTGGATTATTCCTAGGACTCGTACCCATATGGAGGTTCACGTGGCTTAGGAGGGCAGGCACTTCTCATCAACAGCAGTTCTTTCAAGTTGCCTGTACACACAGCCTTTTCCTCTTTCCACTTCTACTCACATTAAAAAACAATTTTCCTGTCCAAATATTTATTCGGTACTTTAACCCTCCTACTTCCTGTATTGTCCCATCCCACCCTGCCAGAAAGACACGGAGACACACACACACACACACACGCCGAGCACACAGCACACCACACGCTCCCTGGTCTGGCCCAGGCAGGCTCCCCTTTGTCCGCCAGACAACGCGAGAGAGGCTTCCCCTGGAAGGGAGTGCAGTGTGTTCAGGAGTTGTTGACAATCCATGTATCAAATATATATCCTTGAGGGAAAAAATTAGTAGCTCTTCGAAACCAAAATATAGTTTTCCCTTTGGTATTAACAAGATAAAACCCATTCGAGACCTCAAAAGCAGGCATTCATACAATAGTAAGGAGCAGGCTTAAAACTGGGGTGCCACGGAGAGACCAATGGCATCATTCTGGTAGGGGGTGTGCAGATTCATGACAGCCAGTCTTTTTGGATGAATTTAACTAATTTCTCTGTTCTTTGCTATAGGTGCAATTATAGAGAATTCTGACGGTCTTATACCTGATTCCAGGTCTTTATAATTGCTGCTTACATATTCAACACGAAAGGCTTTGTTGCATTTTACTATTGTTTATGTATATCATTTTAAATCTGTGCTTTTTTTTTTTTTTGATTGCTCCCTTCCTTCTTATTTCTTTCCTAAGGCTCTATCACCCGACACGATATAGACTCGCCACCAGCTTCGGAGCGCGTTGTCAGTATTTACAAGTATGAAGACATTTTTATGCCGTCAGCTGCCTATCAGACCTTCTCCTCTCCGTTTTGTTTGCTTCTCATTGTTGCCCTGACTTTCTACTTACTGATGGGAACCCCTTAATCACAGCTGCAAAGCCAACGAGTTAAATGAGTTAGAAAGTATATATATTCTTAAATAATAAGCAGTGTAATTTTAGCTTCTGTTATTTAAAAAAAAAGACTCATATGGTTTCAGCTTTTTGGAAGAAAAAACAAGCTTCTTTTCTAATCAAAGAGGATTGTTTAATAATGACCCCATACTTTTGGGAAGAACTTAAAACTTTTCTAAGCACCGTCAGATGTTTTCTTATTTGAATTTCACAACATCTCTGAGTTGGCTCGATGAAAATTATTATTGCCGTCTTACTGAATGGGATTTGAGACTCAGGAGGGGTGCCTTTCTGTGACCCACATGCCATGTGTCCTTGGCCACTTGGTCAGATGACACGCAGCAAGGTAGACAAAGAGCTAAGTGTAGAAATCACGTCTCTAAACAACCTTTACTCTTTCAGCTATAGCTCAGGGGACTCCCTTGGAGTGTTACTAAAGAGAACTTCACTGGATGACGTAGTTCACCGTCAGCTAAACTTTTAGGCAGAAGAACTTTCAAATTTCCATAAAGCTGAAGTGCTTTTGGGTAATTACACAGCTAATGGGGATAATGGAGGAGCTTACAATGATTTGAAAATGGTTCGTGTTTTTTTTTGAAATTTCTTCTCAGTTAGTGAGTAGGTACGATAGAACATTTTTTATTGCTGTTGGAAAGGTTAGGAATAGAGTTGAGTGTTCCTGAAGATGTAAAATTATGTTAATGATAGAAAATATGGACATTTTTAGTGGAATATGGACTCTTCTGCCACTGTGTTTTATAAATGAAGGTATTCATCTGTGGTTGTAGCTAATTCTGTTGTCAGAGTCAGCATACACTGAGTATAATTAAATAGTAATATAATAGACAAATCATCTTTATAAAAATTTTAAGCATTTTGACAATAAACCAATTTTGCAGATTGTGGAATTTGGAGTAGAAACTTTTCAAAGATGAGATTTTTTTTTTAAATCAGCAAATGGGAAATGACCCATAAAGTGAATTCACCTAGATGATCCATTCAGACTTGTTCAGGCTTGTAAATTGGATTGGCAGTCCGCATGATTTATAATAATGCTTTGATGTAATGTATTTCCTATTTTTTCAAAGGACTCCAAAGGTTCCTTTGTTTTCAATGTCTGTGTTAACAGCCCGTTTAGAAGAAAAGACTCTTACGGATGTGGTTCTGCTGCTGAGGCATTCCCATTGCAGAGTTTTGGGGTCCCCTTGGCTTGCCCCCCTTGCTTTAAAGCTGGATCCACCTGTGTGGGTTTTTTGATTAAACAAACTGGAGACTGTGATTTCTATCGCCATCCTTGGGATTCATGTCAAAGGTGTAAATTCCCCTTTGGGGAGAGCTTTCGAATTCTTCTGGAACTGAACAGAAAGAAGAAAAACATGGACATTCTGCAACATTGCACAGTTCACCAAGCTCATCTGAGGAATGTAGGAGAAATAACCCTCATTGCAGGTGGGTTAGCTGACAGGGTAGCTGACGTCAGGTGAGCAAAGGAACTGGGTAGGACTTAAAGCGGAGACATTTGGTTCAAGTCCTTGGTTCCACCTGATGACCATCGCCCCAAAACTAAGCCCTCTGGCCGTGGCTGAGGATGGTGGTTTAGTAGTGAAGACACTGAGTATGCGGGCACCCACATTGTAAATAAAAGAGCAAATATTTTTATATTTCATTCTCTAATGTGTATTATAGTTCAGCTATACATAGTTTAAAGTTAAAGAGAGACTTCAGCTAGTCCCTGTAGCTGGCAGGGAAGAAGTAAATGAATGGATTTTTATTCTGCTTAACATTTCAGGTCAAGCTACTTCTTTCATGAATTGGTCCTACTATGGTTACCAATGTTGCACATTGTGCTCAGAACTTTCAATGATATCTCACTGCCATTAGCGTAAAATGCAAGCCACTTTGATTACCTCCAGTATCTTCTTTTGTCACCACTCCTCACTTGCTCTGACCCAGCAAGACTGAACTGCTCTCTGCTCTTCAGGCTTGCTTTCTTCCTCCTCCTGTCGCCTGTGCCCCAACATTCTCCATCCACTTCCTGTGCTTGCTGAACTCCTGCTCATCTTTCAGGCCACAGCTTAAATACTTCTTCCTCCAACCCCCCTGGACCAGGTAGGCTTAGGTCCCTGCCAAACGCTCTTGTAGCACACTGGGCTTCCCTATCACAGTTACTGTAACTGCTGGCGCCTCCTCCCTGCTAACTCCCTAAAGCAGGAAGTAGTCATTTCTTGGTATTCATCATTGTCACGCACACTACTAAGTGGTAGGTATTTGGCAAACATGTGTTGAATGAGTAAATAAACAAAACAGTACTTCTATGGCAAGCTTCTTTGGGTCAGAAGATGTGTATTTCATAGACATTGTCAAACTGGCCAACATTTTTATACTCTTCCACCTACAGTCAAACCATAAACCATCCCTTTAGTAAACACTGAATTCTGTCTTTTCAAAGATAAATGAAAGATCATTAGTAGCAATGCTGTTTTGCCCTGCAAAACATAGGTGACATTCTTAGTAATAACCATGGCTCAGAAATAAGAATTCACAGAGCTGGGAGGCAGGACAGCATTTAACCATCATCTCAGAGAATCGTCAGTTTACAGACACATTGGAGTTAAAACTTCGTAGACTTCAATTTCATTCATTCTTAACTAATATGAGATAATCAACTCCTATTTTATCTTTGCATTCCACTTTCTAACATTGTACTTGTTGCAGGGAGAGACCCACCTGTGTTTTTGTAGAATAACAATGCTAGCTCTATGTATAGTGCTGTTCTAAGCACTCTATGTGGATTAACACATTTAATCCTCACAACAAACGTGGGAAACAGATTCTATTATTAATCCGATTTTACAGATGAAAAAACTGAGGGTAGTCATTTGGCATAAATTGCCAGGGCTGGGAAGGACTTTAGAGACAGTTTAATCCGATGCACTTGTTTTACAAAGGGGCAGCTGAGGCCTAGGGAGGTGATATGGTTTCCTACACATTCATGCCTTCATGCACTTTCATTAAAACTTTTATTAAATGGAACCTACTATCCACACTCAAATTAGCTAGAGTAATTTACAATGAAAAGAAGGACTTTGTATAGTTATATTTGGGGAAAGGAGAACATTTTACTTTCTATCAGCTTTTTTTTTCTTTATTTTATTTTGATTATTTTGCCAGTCATTTTAGAGCTTTTAATAGTTTTATTTTAAATTAATACACAGATTGGGTAAGGCTAGTATTTGTCTTGGTTCATTTTTAAAAATGGCTTGCCTAAAACCTGAGTCTTCTAACTTGGACTCCAGTGCACTTTTATTGCTCCCCAGTAGTCTCAAAGATAAATTGGTAAACACCATTTCAGACAAAATACGGGAGCCCTGTTTAATTAAGTTAGCTTTTGTCATTAAGGAAATCCCCAGTGGTTTTCACTACTATTTCTATAGTTAACTTTACTCTCTATACATAGGATTTTGTGCCTAAAAGATATTACCACTGAGGCTGTGTATCATTCTTAGCTCTAGCCTAGGGGGTCAGCAAACTTTTTCTAAAGGGGCAAGGTGGTAAAACTTTTAGGTTTTTTGGTCTCTGTTTCCAACTGTTCAACTCTGTCATAGACCATTCAGTAAACCAACGAGCGTGGCTGTGTTCCCATAAGCCTTAGCCAGCACTGAAATTGGAACTTCACCTAATTTTTACATGTCATAAATGTTCTTTAGATTAAAAAAAAACACATTTTTAAAGTGGAAACACCCTTCTCAGCTTGCAGGCCACACAAACATGGGCTGCAGGTTCCCCTGGCTCTCAGCTGAGAGACACACCCATGTGTCACTATTGATTGTAAAGTACACACTGCCGGCAACGTGTTGCTGGTTGATTGTAAAAATATTGAAATTAGTGAGCAATTGGCTTATAAAGTACAGTTGACTAATTGTTATCGTGATAAAAGCATTCCCAGGCACTTCCATTCTAACGGGTTTTCTGGAGTTGATGCGAAAGTGTTGGCTGTTAAGTCAGGGCTGGGTAAGCAGCAGCATTATTTTATCTAAGCTGCGGTAGTCACGGGTGACTTTTACTGATGCATTGCTCTTCATAGTGGGGATTACCATGTTTCATTTCTTTTCCTGTAGACATTTAAACAAATTTTAATCAAAATCTGCTATTGCTACCGGAATGTTTTACACATGTGACAATGTCATCTACCTTGTGTGACATAATGGAAAAATGTTAGAGATCCACTGAAATAGAGCAAATGCTGAGATGCGTATACTTTGTTGTATATAATTGTATTGTATGCCTTTGTTCTCTAAGCAGAATTGGTTATGTTTAGTGAACAGTTTGCTTATTCTTGGTGTATATATATATATATTTGTACATACATGATGAGGTCTGTGTGTGTTTACACATAAATGCCTAAAGGTGTGTTTACACATGTATACATACCATGACTATCTGAAGGTCCTTGCTGAGATTGTTTCTGTTTCTGATCTCTTGATGACTTTATAGCCCAAGGATAAAACATTGTGTGTATACAGGCAAAATGACCCTGGAGTTTCTAGTGACTCAGTTTATAGAAAGGATTCCTAGGTCTTTTATTAAGCCTTGCCTCCTCCATTCAACATTATGTGAATTCTTAAGAACATTTAAGGTATCACTGTTGAGTATAGCTTTTCTATACTGTTAGTTAAGAAACTAAGACTCGTGTTAATGGAGTACACAGCATGTTGATGCAACCCATACTTGGTTTGTATTTAATTAGATTCTTTCTTTAGCTATTCAGTTGTTTAGTTTCAGGTTGAAGTTCTTTGTTTTTCTATTTAATAGATGACTTAAGTATAAGTTACTTTTCATGAAAATAGTGGCTACGCTAATGTGATTTTAAGTATGGCTGAAAAACTTAAGTGAATCATTTATCTCTGGAATTTTTCATTTAAAAATATCCTGATATTTGACCAATGTTTTCAGTCCCCCCCCACCCCCACCCCAGATGTTTGCTATTAGGCAAGTAGCTGTTCCATTCCATTCTTTTGGAGAGTAAGCGATTCTCCCGGGTTGCGGGGTGTTGCAGGGGTTGTGGCATTTGCGCAGGTCACTGGAGTGGGTACCATTTCATCACACAGAATGTCCTGGCCACCTGGAAGAGTAAATGCAGCTTCTCCACATGCCTTATTCCCACAGCTGCGCTGATATGCTGCAACAATCTGGCTCCAGGAGTAAGAATATACTTTTTTGAGATTGTCTATAAAATACTATTTTGTAAAAATGATGCCTTTAAATAGACATTGATGGGTTATATTTGTTTTATAATAATTATGTACCTAATGTTCAACTGTGATTGATTTTGAGATTTATGTGTATTTATAAGCCTGTCCCATGTGAATTTTTACTCTAAGATGTGTGGTACCTTACTAATAAAGACAAGGATTTCTATTTATGTAAAGTAGCAATATTCCTAAATGCTACCTAAATGATTGTACTGTCGATTTGCCATCACGAATACTTTTATCCTTAGAGGATTATATCACAGTTAGACTATATTAACTAGATTTAAACTTTAAAATATAAATTGTCAACATGGTTTGAAATTCATCCTGTTAATGTAATTAAAGGAGGTTTATAATTCCTTAATGCTTTGCTCTGGTGCATTTTTGGTTTTCTATTTGTTTCTTTTACATCCTTTAATCAGTAAAGTCTCCTTGAAGTTATAGACCTGAAAGAAGATGACAGCCTTTCTTGTTCGACAAAGAGGAAAATTACGTCGCAGTAGTCAGGAAAAAATCCTTGGGGAGAAACCATTTGCAAAATAAATCTGTATTTATAGCTTCAACTTAATACCTTTGTGAAATAGTAAATGGAGGCCTATAGTGATCCCATTTAAAGTGTGTTACTTGGTTAATAGTGCATAACTAGCTAGAAGAATTTCAATTATTAGTCTTATTGGTAACTAAATCCTATTATACATTAAGAATAGTTAAAGTTTGGTCGTAAAGCCTTATGAATTATCAAAGAGTTATTGAGATTGCAGGATGTATAGCTGAACTGCTGGTACTACTTGGGCTGGGTTGAGAAACTCAAGGAACATGGATAAAGAATCATGAGGGGAGGACCCCCCTCCACAAAAGTAGAGTTATCCTCTGGAGGGCTACCACTTGTAGCACAGGCTTCCCCTGCTAGGTGAGTGTTCTAGAAACCTGTCTGTACCAGTGCACCAGCTGGTGGTGGTGTGAGAGGCTGTGTTCAGCTTCAATGAATCGTTTTTGAAGACTCTGTCAATGTGTTTGCCCATTTGATAATGGCTTATTTACAAGTGCACCTGCCCACACCACACTGAATGTTCAGCAATTTTTGCTGAAAAAAAAAAGGCATGACCCCAGTGCCCCACTCTCTCTATTTACCCGATCTCACACCAAACAACGATTTTGGTTCCCCAGATTAAAACTGTCCTCAAACATTTTTGCTGATGTGGAAGAGGTGAAACAAAAAATGGCAGAAGCACTAAAAGACATCAAAATCGACGAGTTCAAAGACTGTTGTAGCCAGTGGAAATAAAATATATCGATAGGTGTATTGCATCAAGTGGAGAGTCCTTTGAAGGTGACTGAAGTTTAAACATGTAAAACTAAATACAATGTTTTTTATAAGTAAATTTCAGGGTTCTTTTTCTAATAAAGAAATTCCTGCCTCATAAGCATTACCACATTCTGCACATAGGCTCTAATCCTCATCCCCCAAAACAAATATTTTGTTTCGTTTTTGGTGTGTTAGGTGTTCCCTCTGGTATTTATTTTGCACCATTCTCAGGAGGTAGCCCAGATGTCAGTCCTAACCCTGGTTGATGTTTGACTTGGAAATTTCGTAAGGCTCAGTCCCAGGTCCAAGGGCCAGGGGGGAAACTATAAGAGACAGCTGAAGTGGAGAGGATGGAAAATTCACCTGCATCCAGGAAGTCAAGAAGCTTTCATCATTTGTTTCTTCATCCACTCAATACATATTTATTGAAAACTCTTATGTGCCAATCCCTATGGAGGGCTCCAGGAAGGACAGCTTTTGATCGCTACCCCGAAGAGACTCACAGCCTAGTTGGGGAGTCAGACACACAAACACCATGTAATACCTGTTCCTGACTGCTGCGGTAAGAAGATACTCAGGTGTGGTGCAAACCTGGACTAGGGACACCCTCATCCAGCCTGGTGAGCCAGGAAGGCGGGAGGTAGCAGTGATGCTGCATCTGAAGGAAGGGGCAGGAAAGCAGGCCACGGGTGTGAAGAAGCATCCCCAAGAAAGAGAAGAGCACCCTCAGAAGAATAACCATAAGGATGTGTTTGGGAATCACTGTCACTGGGCAAGGTTTGTCTTAGTTTCCTACTGCAGCTGTAAATGAATTACCATACACTTCGTGGCGTAGAACAACAGAAATGTATTCTCTTGCCGTTCTGGAGGGCGGAAGTCTGAACGGAATCTTATGGAATGAAAATCACGGTGTTGGCGGGGCTGCTTTCCTCTGGGAACTGCAGGGGAGCGGATCCTTCCTTGCCCCTTCCAGCTGGTGTAGCTATGCTTATACTTTGGCTCATGGCTTCACTGTGCCAATGTCTGTCTCTGTGGTCAAATCATTTCTTCTCTTCTGTCTAACCTCCCGCTCACCTTCTGATAAAGACACTTGTGATTACATTTAGGCCCCACCTGTATAACCGAAGCTAGTCTCCCCACCTCAAAATCTTAATCTTATCTGCAAAGTGCCTGTTACTACATAAGGTGACACACTTCTCAGGTTCTAGGGATTATGCCCTGGATACTTTGGGGGCCACCACATTCTAGGGGATAAAGGATGAGGCAGGGAATGGTGAGAAGTAAGACAGAATCCTCACCTTGGACCTTGGATGTTGTAGTAAAGAGTTTGGACACCTTCCTACAGGGTAAGGAGGCTTTGAAGAGATCAGATTACATTGGAAAGATCATACTCCCACTGCAGAGAATTGGGAGTGTGCAAAAGGGCAGAGACATTGGTGTGATACCAAGAGTGTATAAACAAGTGCATATGTCAGTTTCTGTTCACATCCATTGATAGATACATTTATGCAACAAGAAATCTTTCATTTTGTAATTAGAGGAAGAGAACAGAGACTTTGGTTGGAGGAGGGCAGAAGAGATGGTTTAGTTTTTGTTCCTTCACTGACCCTTTGAATGGGTTTTGAGATGCTGTGGTTAGAGGATTCCAGGTCAGACATGGAAGGAACTCTTCATGAGAGCAGATAACAATACACTGGGCACAAGTGATCTGGTTTAGGACTTGGGTGACAAAAGGAAGACTTCCCTTCCATCTCTGAGTGGAACCCAGCTCTGCTTTGGTACCCTGAGGATTAGAAGTTTGGAAGTATCCAGGATCTGGGAATAATGACACAGGCTCTGGCAATCTTATGACAGGCACTGAACTCAGTGAGCTGTGGGGGCAGCAGGGTGTACATAGGGTGGTTGGTGGTTGACTCATGTTTCTGGGTATATGTGAGTCCCCCTTGAAATTACTCAGGATTTTTTGGGAGGGAGACTGAGGCACTGTTGTTACATAAATGAGAATATAAGTCAGTGTAAAATGGATACTGAAAACAAATGTGACTAGAATTTGTTAGCAAAGCAAAATGTAGGACAACTGAAACAAAATATTTACAGAGTCAGAGTCCATAGACCACTAGAAAAACAAAAATGAGAAGGAAAGAAATTACTTTTTCTTTTACTTTAAAACTTACTGAAAAAGAAAAAAAGCTTACTGAAAACAAAAGGGATAATTTGCAAGATTTCAAAGCACTCACATGTTGGTTACTCATTAAAGGCTTCCTCATTTACTTTCCCTCCCTCCCTTCCGCTTCTTAAATAAAAATGCAGATTTTGAGATACAGCCTGTAGGCTTGGATTCTAGACCCTCCCCAACGGAGCAAAAGCACCTTGCACTGCCCCAGACCTTCTTTTTTCTCTTCCAAGACAAGAGCGTCTGTCATTATCATTCTCCTGTGACAGAGGGGAAATTGGGATTGGGGGCTTAATTGACCTGACATCAGTTCTCAAAAAGAGACAGTGGCAATAGGAGACTCCGATCTAGCGCTCTTTCAGGAATCTAGATTGCTCCCACACTGACTCCTACGCCAATAGCTGTCAACGGTAGTTGCACATTACAGTCCTCCGAGGAGCTTTAAAAAATATGCCACAGGATCCCTGTTAGACCAATTAGCAAAGCAGTTAAGAGAATAGATGTTAGGAGCCAGACTCGGAGTTCGAATCCTTCCTTTGCCACCTCCTAGCTGTGTACCCTTGGCAAGGTGCTGAAATTCTCTGTGCTTCAGTGTTCCTCTTTGCGGGACTGTTCTAAGGATTGAGTTAATAGGAATGAGCTTCTATGAGGCACTTAGAACAGGGCCTGCCGTATGGTAATCGCTATTTAAAATTCTGCCAAATATACCAGAGTACATACTTTGTGTTTATTCATAAATCGATAAAATAGAATCTGGGAATCAGTCTTTTAATCAGTACCCCTCCCCCGCCCCCCCGGATTCTAATGAGCAGCCTGGGTTTTCAATCTGTGAATGTAGTGCCTCTTTAGGGATTCCGCTTCCCGCAAAATTGACATTAACCAATGGGTGAAGGGAATTTTTTTTTTTTTCCTATTCCTCTCGTAAGATTTTGAGCTCAGAAACCTGTTACTTGACTCCTGCAGGGACCAATGAGAGAATGGAGCGAAGGGATTTGCCCTGTACTCTCTGGGAGTTGTAGTTTGCTAAAGGTCCTGTAATGCTCGGTGGCCAATTAGAAACTACAACTCCCACGACGCCGCGCGCCGTCGGTCCTGCCTCTCGCTGGCGGCACTCGCCCGGCTTTACTGTACGGGCTCTCGGAGGCGGCGGCAAAGCCACCATGGCTGACGGTAGTGGCGGTCCTGCCGAAGCGTCTAGTCCGCGGGAGTCCCCGGGCCGGGCGCCGCGGGTGCCGCGTGCCGTCGGGCCCAGTAGCGGCAGCGGCTGCGGGGAGACCCCGCGGACGCCGGCCTTGGCGCTACGCTTCGACAAGCCCATCAAGCAGGCCTTCTACAACACCGGGGCCGTGCTGTTCGTGTGCCTGTGCTGCGGCGCCGCTGTGCTCGTCTACTTCATTTTGGAGGCCTTCCTGCGGCCGCTGCTGTGGGCCGTGCTGTGCGGCACCTTCCTGCACCCCTTCAAGAGCTCGCTCACGCGCCTGGGCCGCCACTGGCTGCAGCGCCTGCACCGCGCGCACACGCCCATCGTGCTGGCCGCACTGCTGCTGCCGCTCTGCTTTGCAGACTACGGCGTCGAGGCCCTAGGCGAGCAGGCGCTGCGCCGCCGCCGGCTGCTGCTGCTGCTCGGCACCGGCGGCCCCCTCCTCTACGGCCTTTACAGCCTGGGCAGCTACCTGGGTGTACAGGTGCTGCTGGCCTACGTCGGCGAGCTCATTTGCCGCGGGCTGGACTACTTCAGCAGTCTGTGGGTGAGTGAGCCTTGGCCCGGTCCCTCCGGGGTCCCGGCGGGCACACAGCACCCTTCTCTGCAGCCCCAGTGCACTGGGGTGTGATGCTGCAATTCCTCCTTAATGTGCAAGGACGACCAAAGGTCCACACCTGTGCGGCAATGTCAGTCTCCGCTTCCTTCCCTTGCATTTGAGGAACTTGGCACACTTACCTCTAAGGAGAGGACGGGTGTGGTTTGAAACAGCCTCCCTGCGCCTCCCCGCCACCATCCTAATAGACCCTTTAAGGGGGACGTGTCACCTGTTGGGAATCACTTTTCCGCTTTGCGAGAAGGGGCTTAAGAGCATTGGCAGATGGACTTGAATTTACTCCTGGTCGTGGGGGTGAGGGATGTTGTGGCCATCTTCAGTTCTGCTCACGTGGGACTTTTCTGGATGTCAGGCCTGGAACGGACCATAGAAATCCTAGTGGAGCCTGTGATGATATGAGAGGTGACTTCTTACCCGTCTAGGGATACTTAGGGACAAGTAGGGGACTGGTTGACTCAGATTTCTCAAGTCCTAAAACAAAGCTTTCTTAATAGTCCAGGGCTGCCTCTCAGTTCAGATGATTTCAGTATATTTGGTGCTAGGCACTGGGTGCTGAGCCACCTGGGATTCTTCCAGGCCACACTGCTTTTTGGGAACTACTTGTGTTGTACAAGGACTGCTGTACCACTTAAGCAGACTGAGTGAAAGAGAGGTAGATTCCTGATTGTTGGATCACCCTGGTCTTACTCTTAGAAAATCAGGGAGCTTTAGAATTGGAAGGGATTTCAAAGATCATCTAGGGACCCATTTCCTAACTCAGATCAGGTTGTAGACTAGTTGAACAGGATCATTTAAAAGTAATTGTATTCACTTTTGTTAGTGTTCAGTGAACTTTGACATCAAGTTGCAAAATAATTCTCCCTATCCAGTAGAGTTTTGACTTGCTCTAAGTTATTGGTAATGATTGATTCCAAAATTCCTGTCTTCTCTTGCTCTATCAATACCACCTCTCAGGTCAAGTTAAAAGTGGATTATGTTAGGGACTGAGCTTTGCAAAGGATTTAAAAGGAGTCAGATGCAGGCTCTGACTTCAGGGTGCATGTAATGATGCGTGAACGTAATCTCATGGAAGTGACAGACATGGATATACAGGGTGGGGCAAAAGTATGTTTCCAGTTCATATGGAAAATAATTCATAAGAGTGCAAGAATAAACTCGGTGTTTCATGTACTCACACCTGCAAACCTACTTTTCTTCCATCCTGTATGCTCATTAACCACCAATTATTGGGGAGCCCCTCATCCATAATTTCGCAATGCTGCCTGTGTACAACTGTTAAGTGGTCAGACAGAAGCCTTGACCTCTAAGGGGGGGACTGGGCTATTTCAGATGTAGGGGGAGAGATGGGCAGCCACCCCTTTTCAACTCCGGGGGCTTGCTAGATTGTCAGGTGGAAGCGATCCTAGAGTTAATTTACTCTGTACTGCCTGATGCCTGCCTCTCTTCAGGAGAGGTTTCTGAGGTCCAGAGAATGTGACTGTCCCAAAGTCACTCATATTGTGAATAAATCCATGGTTCACATTTATGGAGTCCCAGTTCCGTGTTCTTTCTTCTTTACCTTGTTTTACATTTCAGTTAAGTTCACTGAATGCCTCTTATGTAGAAAGCAGACTGCTGAGAGTATAAAGATTACTGTGACTTGATTTCTGTCCTCAAGAAATTCAGTCTTGTCAAAGTCAGACACGTCTATAGATTCTGCTAACATTTTTTGACTTGATAATAAGATTTACTGTAAATTACTATAGCTAAGACAAAGTGGTTTATCCATTACACTGTGAGAAATCAAAAAAGAAAGCCCTAACATGTATAGTGTATTTTCTCTTTTTTTTAAGATTTTATTTGTTTATTTTTAGAGAGGGAATGGAGGGAGAAAGAGAGAGAGAGAAACATCAATGTGCGGTTGCTGGGGGTCATGGCCTGCAACCCAGGCATGTACCCTGACTGGGAATCGAACCTGCGACACTTTGGTTTGCAGTCCGAGCTCAATCCACTGAGCTATGCCAGCCAGGTGTATTTTTGTACTACAATAAGATGTTGAATACATGGGCAAATTGGCATGATTAGTGGAAAATGAAGCATTTCTGCCAGTCACTCTCAGATGGTGGAAAGAGGTGAGGAATTGCATGCTTGTAAAAAGGTGCTCACAGCTCAGTGTGTCTAGTTTTGAATGTCTTTTTACTGAAGATAAACCCCCATCTTTGCATTTTATGTAAATGCCCTTGTATGGTTTGTGGATGAGCAGAAGAGAAGATAGACCAGTATTGATTGGGCTAGAAGGAGGGAGGAAGGTCAAGCCAATTAATGATTTTAAAAAGACTTGAAACTTAGCTCTTTGGCTGAAGTAGTGGGGGCAAGGGAGAAGAGGAGGCGGTGAAGAAGACCCATTATAAAAGAGACCCTATGAGATCATTAGAAGTGGGTAGGGAGTGGTAGAGGGCTAAAGGGAAAGTAGAGCCAGGATGTGGACCTGAGTTTGAGAGAAACAGGCTTTCAGTTTTGGTTCAGTGCTGCGGTGGGTGTTTGGATGGGGCTGAGGTGCACCTGGGAAGCAGAGACAAGGGGCTGTCAGCTCTCAGCCAAAGGTGCTGGTGAAGGCCTGACAGGACTGGGAAATGGGTCATGTGAATGAGCCCGGGGCCCACTCTGTGACTCCTCTCTCTCATGGTTCACAGCCAGTTTGGTTTTGTAATCCCAAGCAGAGCTGTCTGTTATAGAAAAAGAGTATGCTTTCTAGACAACTTGTAAATTTGAGCCTGCTGCCAAACAGAGGTATAGGTGGGAGAGGCAGAGAGAGAAGTTACATTTAGGCATGTCAGCATTCTGGAGAGCTGTTAATACATGCATTCAAGATGCAACCTCTGAGTCATGAGCCAGGCCCTGGATTAGGTGCTTTCACGTGTGCTGCTTCATTCTCATAACAACCCTGTGCGGGAGGAGGGATGTCACAGGTGAGAAGACTGAGTAGAGGTTGATCTACTTTTTCTGTTAGTAAATGGTGTTCAACAGGCCTGTCAGCTATTGCAGTCCCTTTGTCACCAAGACCTTCAATGAGGATTTTAAAAAAGTCCCCCAATACGTTGCATTTAAATTTCTAGTTTAATTTTTGTAGTGTGATTTGATTTTAGTCATTAGGAAGAAAAGAGGACATCAGGATTGGACTAACCACTTGTATTCCCCGAAAGACCCTTGCATTCTAGTCATCTAGAAACCTCAGCCGTCTCTGTTTTCTTCTTTGCTTTTATCCTTGAATCTCTTGACTTATTTCCAAGTCCTGTCCAGTTTTCCTTTGTGGTGTCTTCAGTGCCTGTATTTGCCTGTGCTCCCAGTTTATCTTTGCAGTTCAGCTCCTCTTCCCTCTGCTTGTGGGTTACTTCAGTGACTCCTAGCTCTTTTTCATGATTCTGGTCTCCTAACACTCCATCCTGCTTACATTTATGGTACGAGTATTTCTTTTTGAACAGTTTCAAATATATTACAATATTGTACTGACTTAGTAAGTGATTTCTCAACACTTCAAAAAAGTCATCTGTTGCTCCAAGCTCTCGCGTGACTCAGTCCTTAGGGTTCTTGGCATCTCCCCAGGGTGTAGAATGGTCAGGATAAATCTGAAAAGCGAGTGGCTGCTCCTGCACCACCATCTCTCTTTGCTGGGAGTATTTTGCTTTTCCTCTGTCCATTACTTCAGACTTCGTGGAAAATTTGAGGACTGCTTACAGTTTCTACAGTAGTAATAGATTTGTGTTCTCCATGGTGTCTTAATCCAATTGTTTTCGTTTGACTTTACAAAGAGCCATGAGGTAGAAAAGAATGGTGGCTGAAAGATGAGAAGAGTGTAAATTCTAAGCTAAGCTCTGCCAGTAACTTGCTTCATGACCTTGAACAGATCAGAGTTCTTCTCTGGGCCACACAGCCCAAGTTGTGTGAAGTGTGGGAGTAGCTTGAATGATTTTGAAGGCTCCTTGGTGTTCGGTTTTACAGCTCCCAAGAGCTTGGCAGTGTTGCAGGTGAGCTCTTGGGAAGTGTGCAGTTGCCATCCAGGCCTACTCAGTGCCACTCCTGAGCCCTTCTCGAGGTGCGGTTTTGCTGGCCTGGCAACAGTAAGGAGGAAGCTTTCCAGATTGTGATTTTGAAAGATTCGTGACTCTTAAGTTCCCATACCATAAAGAGAACAATTTTCAAATTAGCATTAAGCTGTCTTAAAGGAGAATGAAGTACCTGGAGGAGTAGTTGGTTGGGCTATAATTAGGGCTGTGGCTCCATAACTTTGGGAGAAGTCTGTTGGTTAATTCTCTTGTACAAGACGTAGGAAAGTGTTTTACAAAAACGTGCAACAGAAGCCAGCCAAGTTGTTTTTCCATTTAATGCCCAGATGACAATAAATAAAACAATGTGCCCTGGCTGGTGTGGCTCAGTGGATTGAACGCCAGTCTGTGAACCAAAATGTCATTGGCTGGATTCCTAGTCAGGGCACATGCCTGGGTTGTGGGCCAGGTCCCCAGGGGGTGCGTGCAAGAGGCAACAGATCCATGTATCTGTTCTGCACAGCAGTTTCTCTCCCTCCCTCCTCCCTGTCTGTAAAAGTAAATAAATAAAATCTTTTAAAAAAATAAAAAAAAAAGACATAGTTTAAAAGGCAAAATTTACTTGTGGTTTATGCATTTAACATTTTCTAATCAGAAAGTACATGTGGATAATAAGTCAAATAAAAGGACTGTGATTATTAGTTTGCTCTACTTGTGGTGCTAAATAAATACTGCCAATTTTTATGCAGAGTCTTATGTAGTATCTAGCACACATTGTGCAGAGTCTCATATAGTGCTTTCAAGTAAGTATTGAATGTGTGTTTTGAAAGGACACATTGTTTTGAAGAGCATACATTTGGGAAAGTATGACCTCTTACATATAAACTGTTGCCCATTGAGGGTTGCTGGGAAGGAAATTAATACTTTTAACAGGTTTGCTCGGAAGCTAAGCATATCACTGAGAGACAAGTAAAAAACACAGTCATCCTTTTAGGAATCCGTACTAGAAATTATAAATGAAATATGAATGTACAAATCCTCATTTTCAGTTTCAGTTATTTAAAGAATAGTTAGCAGTATAAAAGTTGACTCAGGTAAGACGTGCTTGTTTTATAAAAACAACATAAACTGTGCAGATGCTGGCCTGGTGAAAGCGGGTGGCGGTCTCCCCTCCGCACTGTTCCCACGGGGCGGGGGCGGGTGCTGCTGTGGTTACTGGTGAGCTGTCTTCTGAGCTTACTTCTGCGCCTGTGTGGACATCGAGTATAGGATTTCCGATTGTTAAAACAAAAATGGTACAGCATAAAACTCTGCACCTTGCACTTTAACTTATTGTTGTATTGTGGATATCTTTCCTTGGTAGCACTTACAGATATACTTCTTTTTAATAGCAATATAGTATAAAAACTTTTTTTTAAGATGGCTTTTGAAAGTGTTCCTACCAGATTATTTTAACTCTGAATTTGTGTTAGGACAATCTGATAAAGATCTGTAAATATTAGTACTTGTATAATCATAATGGCCTAATAGAAACTCTAAAGTGTTTTATAAATGATCATACTCTTTGAACTAATAATATTCTGTGACTCTTCTGAGGAAGCACTTCAAAATATTGAAGAAAAATTCAAAATAAGCCAAAATATTTTTTAAGTAAAAACATTCCATTTATAAAAATAGCAATACTCAGGAGAAAATTCAGTAATTGAAGAAAAGCATAAAGAAGTAAATTGGAGACAACTATACTTGAAAAGCAATAAAAAAAATTATGTATTAAAAAAGCAGTGTCGCAGGTTCGATTCCCAGTCAGGGTACATGCCTGGGTTGCAGGCCATGACCCCCAGCAACCGCACATTGATGTTTCTCTCTCTCTCTCTCTCTCTCTCTCTTCCTCCCTTCCCTCTCTGAGAATGAATAAATAAAATCTTTAAAAAAAAAAGCAAATTAACTTCTGAAATCAAACCATCCAGTTATAATACAGGGTCCAACACAAATAATGGCCCTTTTTTATTACAAAATCATAATCATAATGTAATTTGTAACATAGCAATATCACACTCAAATCACACCATATGACATTTTAGGTGAAATGTTCAAATTAAAAATGTAAATGATTACATCCATATTATTACCCTGCTAACCACACTCAAACAAGCCTTCTTTTTCTTTTTTTTTTAAGATTTTATTTATTTATTTTTAGAGAGGGAAGGGAGGGAGAAAGAGAGAGAGAAACATCAGTGTGCAGTTGCTGGGGGCCGTGGCCTGCAACACAGGCATGTACCCTGACTGGGAATTGAACCTGCGATGCTTTGGTTCGCAGCTGGTGCCCAATCCACTGAGCTACACCAGCCAGGGCAAACAACCCTTACTTCTGCTGGACCTTGTATATTGCTTAACATTTATGAGAGTACATGTTCACCATTATAAATTTGCACTTGCATAAATTTGTACTGTGCCATTGAATATAGATATTCATCAGACCTTTGAAAGTCTGAATAATTGTTCCATCTTTGGAGATACCATTATTTAAATAGTCCTCTGTACAATGATATTTAGGTCATTATCAATTTATTAATATCTTAAACTGCTACAGTGAATATTTTTGTATGAGGAAGAAGAAAATGGCACAGTATCACCATCCCTGGACCAAGATCATGAATTCTTAAAGCATTTAACATAAATATACCAAAGCTCCAAAACTTCTACCAAGAACCAAAACCTAAAGGGTGGCTCTTTTAAGAAGCAGCACTTCCATATCTTGGTGAACCCCAGGTAGAAAGCTTTTAAAGCTGAGTTTTTGACACTTTCACTTCTAAAAAAAAAAAAGCAAATATGACTGTCTACACAGTGTATAGTGCTTCAGTAAACCAAATTCTCAGCAGTGGAACTCAGGAGTATATTTCAGTGGTTATTTTAAACTGAAATGAGGTTATTTGTGAGTTTAAGATTCACTTTGGACCATGAGTTTCCCTTAAAAAAATCCTGAGTATGCAGCCTGTTACATTTTTCTCTTCCTGATAGTGATACTGATTCCTAAGTACTGAAAAGAAACAAAAGTCGTAAGTACTAAAGTACTAAGTACTAAAGATTCCTAAGTACTGAAAAGTCTTGGTATTAAAGTATAGACTTAAACTCTGAAAGTTTGTCCTTTCTCTGTTCGTCTAGTTCAACTTCTCGCTGAGGGCAGACTTTCTGTCCTACTTTGTCATCCCTGACTCACGGTCAGCTCTTGCTCAAACACTTTCAGTGATTGTAGCTGATTCCATTTTTAGATTGCTACAGTTGTTAGACAGATTTATCCTCATATTGAGCTGAAATGTGTTGCTTCCTAATCTCACCTATTTCTGCTATCATAACCACAGAAAATTAAGTCCTGTGCTTTCCCAGATGACATTTCCCCAGCTATTTAAAGATAGCTATCAAATCTTGACACTTCCTTTTCTTTTCATAGCTAAAACAGCTTTTCCCCTGGCTACATCCATATCTCTTCTGTTGTGATTTCCATTTCCTTTCCCAGACTGAATTTTATTGCTGATGTGGTTCAGTAGTGCAAATGTCATTAAAGCAGTCATTTACCTTGATGTGACTCTTGTACTTTCATTGATAGGCATTCACACCAGTTATACTTCTGACTCACACTGAGGTAAAAGGTAGTTTAGCTGCCCTCTTCCCATTCTGTGCTTGTGCAGTTGAGTTTTGAATCTCAGAGCAGAACTTTGCATTTCTCCCTGTTAAATTTAATCTTACTTGAGTTAGCTCACTGTTCTAACTTCAAGATATCTTTTTGAATCACCATTATCTCGGTTTTATTGACTAAGCCCAATTTTGTATAATCCATGAGTTTGGTTAATATTTCTCCTAGTCTTTCATCTAAATTACTGACTTCACGTTTAATAGTGTGGGGCTCATTACCCCTGTGCAGCCTGCCACTGCAGACCATCCATTTGCTAAGGATCCTTTTTTATTGCATCCATTTGTAGTTGCCTAGATCGACGGTTTTTTATTTTTTCCTGTGAATATTGGAGCTGCTTTTTCTAAAAAGTTTTTTTTAGCACTATCCTTTTTTCTTCTTCTGGTTAAGAAAGCAGGCTCTGGAGCCAGATTTCTGGGTTCTGATCCTGCTCTGTCACTTTTAAGCAATTTCTTTAATATGTAAAATGGGAATAATAATACTTATTTCTTGGATTTATGAGAATTAAATGAGCTCGTGCAGACAATGCCTTAGAACAGGGCCTGGTGCATAGTAAAGGTTAAGCGCTGTACTATTATTATACTCTGATTTCGTTCTGAGCTCCACAGTGACACCTCAGAGTGTCTGAATTCCCAGGGTTAAATCTGTGTGGTCCTGCCAGCTTGTAGCAGCTGTACTGCCACTTCCCATGTAATGTTTGTAATCTGGGGCTTATGATCTCTGTAATGTTTCACCTAACCGATTGCCTGAGGAAGAATATTTTAATGTCCTTTTCATTATAAAAGAATTAGTGCTTATGAAAGCCAATTTGGAAAATACAGGAAAAAGTGAAAGGAAAAAATCTTACTACCACAAAACAACCGTTAATTTCTTAGTACATTTCTTTTTCCTTACCATACAGTAGATATAATCATGTCATATGTGTTTTTGTGTTTTGCTTTTCCTTGATATTCTTAGGAACATTTTTAATTATATAGTCTTGCCTGTGAAACCTATTTTAATGATTGTAGAACATTTTCTTAATTGAATGATCTATAATTAACCATTTACTAGTTGTTGAACTTTAGTTTATCTGCTTTTCAGTATTCTAAATTATACTCTGATGAGCTTTTTTTTTAAATAGAGTTTATTATTATTTAGTAAGATTCTAAAGCTGGATTCTCAGTTCCAAAGTTATAAACATTTGTAGGACATGAAGACTATTTTTATTGGTATATATGACCAAAATAAAGTAGGAGGTAGTTTTTTTCTGTCTTTTGTAGTGATCATATCAGTTCCTTTTTCTTCATTTTCTGAATTATAGCTTAAAAGTTTCTTCTTTTGTTTTGATTTACCTTCTCTTTTTAAGGTTTAGGTTATTTTGGTATGTTCCTGCTATTCACATTTGTTCTGGATTATATATTCCTTCCACCTTTGTAAATGTTCTATTACAATGTGAGGTTATCAGAGAGCTTGTGCATGGGCCGTGTTGATGCTTCTTGCAGTGCCAGTCGTTTAGGGTCAGAGTGGGGAAGACTGGGGAGGGCACCCTGGCCAGTTCTTTGGTTTTCAAGTCTTGCTGTTTCTTCCTCTAGTAATATTTTCTTTTCAGCACCCTTCTTCAAATGTGCATATAACTCTGGACTAGGCTCAAACCATCTGTTAGGTAGATTACTTTATCAGGGTCACACTTCAGCTGCCATCTTCTTTTCGCTTTAAAAAATTATTTTCGTAGTAAGAAGCATATTTCATAGGCTGTAATGGATCTTTTAACCTGATTCTTTTTGGAAAGCTTTTCTTTTTTCTTTTCTAAACATTAATCTATAGAGAAAACTTCAAGAATTTTACAAGATTACGCTCTTAAGTTCATGGCTTAAAAATGGAATATTTTATTTCAAGTATCTTTATGCATACAATAGTTTTTGAACTTTAATATATCTTAAAGCTATATGTATTTTTTCCTGAAAACGATTTAAATGGCATCACTGCATGGGGTTTAAATGCCTGTTTCCTTTAAAACTGAGTTTACCCAAACAGAGGAAAGCCTGCACATGCTCGGGTTAGCACCACCTGCCTTCATCTTACCTGTGTTGTAACCACAGCTCCCATGCGGTATAGATGCTTGCGCACCTTGCATAGTTGTATGTTTATTTTCTTGTGTGTGTATTTTACAACTGTGTCTGTATTTCATTTATTGAAGATCTGGACGTTGGTGGTTGGCTATGTGTTGACTGTTTCATTCAAGTGGAATGCAAGCACTGAACGCTACTTAAGAGCAATTTCAATTCCCGTCTGGATTATATTGCTCTTTCATTTAGGTGGGTCACTTTTTCTAAGAAAGTCTAGCTTAAGTTAAGCAGCAGCCGACTGTGCAAATCAAAGCGATGTTTTTTTTGTAGTGTTATATACTGCATTTAAAAATTTTTTAAATCTTTAGAAAATGTCCTTTAATATTTTATTAATTTTTAATGAAAATGTTATGCTATCTTTTAATTATATTGAATGTTCGTTTTCAGAAAGGTCCTTTAAAAATAGATATATCTTAAAAAGTAGGGCACACTTGGGCTCTCAGGGCCATTTCTGAGTGTCACACTGAAGAAGGATGCAGATAAGCAGTCAGGTGTGATAAGAGGTGCTCAGAATCACCTGTGAGAAACAGTGGAAGGAACCATAGATGTTTGCTCTGGATAAGAGAAGAGCTGGGCTGCGGGGGTGGGGAGAGGTGGAGGTAAGGAGGATATAAAATCGGAAGCCTCTCCTGCGAAGGAGTGTTTGAAACCGGTGGGGAGAGATGTTGGAGCAGTGGGTAGCTTCAGAGAGAAAAATCTCTGCTCAGCCTTAGAAGGATCAGTGTCAGAGCTGCTTCGCTTCATTGCAGACTGCACTGCTGGCTGAATGGCTGCTGGGTGGTTTTTCAGGGACCCTCATCTCCAAGTGTGAGTGTTTGGAAACAGTTCTAGTTTAAAAACAAAACCCAGTAGCTGAGAGCAGTAGATAGTTTTTAGAGCTGCTTATTGTTAAAAATTTTTTTTAAAGAGTTGGTTAAAAATAAGTCTCTGCTTAGAGTTTGGTGTTGAAATGAAGCGTTACTCCCTGGCTTTGCGGACTTGGAATCTCCTGATCCGCAATGGATGTCGTGTCTGACACCAAACTCTAAGCAGAGACGAGGAGATCATCAGCAGGATCCCCTGACTATGGGCTTTGGGCTTTGTCTCATTTTGAGTTTGAGAAAGGTGGCTGTATGCCCATGAGGCTCTAGACAAACTCAAAGAACTGCAAATGGCTAATGGGTAGCCACTTGTTAGCATTTTTGTTGTGCACCAAGGATGCATTGAAGCCTTTTGCAGTGCAGTTTTGGGCCATTTCACCTTTCTTGAGAGAGACCACATCCAGTGGTATTTTCAGGAAATCAAGTCAGGCTACACGAGTAGGATCTCTGCCTGGTGTGGGTAATTCTGGGATTAAATGGAGGGTGGGAGGGCTCGATGACATGCTTCTGAATGGATTTGGATCCTCAGGGGACGGCAGCCTGTTGGCGGTAGGCTGGTGCACACCCACTCCCAGGGCCCGAGGCCTCTGATGAGACCGGACTTCCTGAGAGAAGTCCTGAAGTTAGGTTCCACCTGTCTGATGGCTGGTTTTTAAAATTTTCCCCGGTGAAACAATTTTGTTAACATAGATGTCAAATGGTTCTGTTAGTCTAGTAAACAGATTCTTTTAAAGACAAGTGCTGGGTTTTTATTTCATTAAAAATGTTAACTCTTAATAATTTGCAGCATCTCTGGCCGGCTCATGGAGAATTCCAGTATTCCTGGTTATTGTTTTCCTGATGTCTGTGGGCACCCTTTATGAAAAACAGAACGGAAAAGAGTCTGCTGGTAAGAAATAGGGCATTCTATTAATAATTGTTGTTAGGAAATATTTGGGAGAGTATTTTTATTTTAAAAACATGCTATGATGAAACAGTTTTAAATCCGTTTAAAAACCAGTGGTATTTTCTGAACAATAAATTTGTTTAACATATATTAGGTTGTTTGACTATACCTCACCCCCCTTTTCTGCTTTTTTTATTGGGGTATAATTCATAGAGCATAACCATTAACTATTTTAAATGAGTACTTAGTACATTCACAGTGTGTGCAACCATTACCTCCATCTTATCCTAAGATATTTCATCACCCCAAAAGGAAACTCTGTAGTTAGGTTATTTGAGATATTTCTTTTTTCTTAATGTTGGCATTTATAGCTGTAAATTGCCCTCTTAAAAGCTACTTTTACACCTCATAAATTTTGATTTGTTGTGTTTCCATTTTCCCTGGGTCAAGATACTATGTGATTTCCCTTTTGATTTCTTCTTTGACACATTGATTAATCAGAAGTGTGTTGTTAAACTTCCACATATTTATGAATTTTCCAGTTTTTTATTGCTTGTGCTTTTGGTGTTCTATTTCATTGCCAAATTCAAGGCCATGAATATTTACCCCTGCTGATCTTGTATGCTACAACTTTGCTGAATTTGTTTATTTAATAGTTTTTTTTGTAAATTGTTTAGGGTTTTGTGTATATAATAGCATGTCATCTGCAAATAAAGATAGTTTTACTTCTTCCTTTTAATTTGCATGCCATTTATTTCTTCTTTTTGCGTGATTACTCTGGTTAAAACTTCTACTACAATGTTGAATACACCATGTTCTTTTAAAGATTATTTTTGGCTGCAAGTGGTTTTTATCCAAAAACAGTTTGTTAAAGGTACAGATTTCTAATGAGTGGTAAGGGGGCAGCGAGGGTGTGTCTGGGAGCAGTGTCCAGAGGCGGTCGTGGTTCTCCTGGACTCCTGGTTACCCAGGCGTGTGGATGCAGCTGTGTCTGAGAGGTAACTCTGAAGAGCGCACAGTTTCTACAAGTGGTTGACACTTGTCCCTTGCTTCTTTCTGATGGTTATACGTAAACTAAAAGAGCAAATTGTTAATTGTAGCAGATTTTTAGAAAATTAATTTTTCAGATATGAGTTTGTCACAATTAAGTTAGGAAATACAGAGAAACAAAAAGAAAGTAAAAAGCACTCAAAATCCTACTGCCCACAGATTATACCAAAACGTTAACTAGTGGTTTTTATGCCTGGATCATAGTGAACATTCTCTTTTGTGACCTACATTTTAGACTTGATGTCACGAGCACCGTTCTGTGTCAAATGTACTTCTACAACATTATTTTTAGCATCTTTATTTTATGTGAATCACAAGGCTATTTGTGGCACTTTGGTGTATTTGTACAGTGCCTTACAGAAGTTATTTTTAATTAAGTTGCTTTTTAAAATTACTTTATTTGTTAAATGAGTGACATCTGACAGTCATAAGAAAAAACAGTTGTGTAGAATTTTCACATAACTACCTGAAACAAAGAAACCTTAATTACTTTCTGACAGTGGAAAACAGGAAAGATTTTATTTTATATTTTGCTGTCTTTCTGTTCTCTTCTGTTTGCTCAGCTTGTCTTCCTGACCACAGCCTTTTAGACTCTGTGGTTATACAGCAGAGCAGGAGAAGTAAACTTTCTGTTTTGGCATCTGGTAAAGAAAACTTGGTGGCCTCTGCTTGTCCCTCTGGTTAGCTTTACCTCCTTTTTTTCTTTCCTTTCCCCTAATAGTAGTGGTTCATATGGCTCTGCTTACGCCTCACCCCAGGACAGTTTTCTCCTTTTGACTGCCTTGTCCAGAGTGAATACTTTATTTCAAATACTTAACTTGAATAACACAGGTCTAAAACCCAAGGTTTTTAGGAGGATTTTTTCTTGGGTATAAATTCTCGTCAGCTCGTGATGGCAGCCTAGAGAGCTGTGAGAACAAGAATTCTAAGACCCAGTTCTGAGCCATGTTTAATATTTCTATCAGGCCTGTACCCAGGATAGGAGCGCACTGGCGTGTCGGCCAGATTTCTGGTATTTGTATTCTGGACACTTACAAGGAAGGGAATCACAGGAACACAGAGGACATGCTGTGAGCAGATTTGGAAATGTGGAAACAACCAACATCTTGTTCTGTTCACTCTCACTCCAGCCTGCTTCCGAATAGGTTATTCTAGACCTAGAATCTTTTTATGGACTTCTAGTCTAGATGATCCTTATCATAAAATACATCTGTCAAATATTTTTTATAAACTTCTGAGTATTTTTTTCCTCTTGTCCCTAGGACCTTGTTTCTCTTAGGCACCAGAAGTCACGGCATCTAGTCCGTGTTGGGACCGTGGTCTCCTTTTATCATCGTCCGTCCCCGCCTGTTGGTGTCACTGTAATGTGATCAGGACAGGGCACTTCGGTGTGTTGCCGTGTGCTTTCCTTCCTTCCTGGTCTGCCCATGGCCCCGTGGTGGGGCCCGCTCTGGTAGCCCAGTCACCTGTGTAGGTGTCTTTCTCTGTGTCTTCTGAGCTTTGAATCCTTCGCTGCTGCGGACACTTGTATGATCTGTGGTTCACAGGATTCACAGAATTAATCCTTTGGATTTCATCAGAATGCAAAGCATGAGTTTATTTATGTCCAGAAAACTCTTCTTGTAGATTATTGCTGAGTTAGTTTCAGAGGTTCCTTCTGAACCCAGGGGCCTCACTCAGTGATTTTCTCTTAGACCTCGGGAGCTCTTGCTTGGTATTTCCTGGAACCCCAAGATAATGTAGGGGAAAAATGTTCAATGCCTACCACACTTTTATTTTAAATCCACAAGTAAAACAACCGTCAAAACCTTATAGAATGATTGTCCCCATTTTGCAGATGAAGGCATTTTATTCCAGAGATTAACTGACTTGCTTACGGTCCCTCACGTGACTGGTGGAGCTAAGATATGAACTGAGGGCATTGACCCTAAGCCTAGTGCTCTTTGAACAAGCGTCAGTCATCCAGTCATCCTAGAGGTACTGATGGATGATCCTTTTGAACTAAGTTGTGGGTGTCAGCTCCTTCAGTCTCCAGTGTCGGCCCTGTTGGCTTACTGCAGCTTCTGGACCTAGCCCCTCTGTCTCCTGGATCCCAGAAGTCTCACTTGGTAGAAACCTCAGTCCAGCTTTGATGTGCTTCGTTAGCCTGTGAGCAAAGAGGAACACTAGCGTTATTGTTAGTATTGACAGCATGGGTAAGGCCCTGTTGGACTCTTTAAACATGCTGTCTCATTTAATTTTCCTAGTAATCCAGTGAGATTGGTATTGTACTTATTCTACAGATGAAGAAACTCAGGCTCAGCCATTTACTCTTAGTATGAGAAATGCTTTTTTCAAAAGCTAGAGAAACACATCAGATGTTATCTTCAACACCGGGGCATCCAGCCTGAGAAGTATGGCAAGTAAAGTATAAACTGAGTCTGTTTCTGCTAACATTGGTAATTGTTTATAAATGACCAGGAGTATCTTCTCAGGAAGGCTTGGTAGTTGCCTTAATTGTTTTAGGATAGCATGCATTGCGAGTGAAAATGTTTGGTCCACTTAAACCCCAGTTGGAAAAAGAAAAAGAGAACAAACTCAGATGTTTTACTGCGCATCTCCCACTCCCCATTTCTGACACTGTCAGTTAAATAGACCTAGAGAAACTCCTACTGGTGCATATCCACATCCTCATTACTGACCAGAAGTATAGTGAAGTGATACTAGAAGCCACTGAGAGGAGATGTAGTTTCTACGTTAGTAATGGAGACACAAGCCTCCTTCACAGGGTGCTGTGCATGCTGGGGAGGTTTCACTGGGTTTGCAGGGCCTCCTTCCAGTAAGCATCCTTGGATGTATTTCTGGCAACTGCCATTATCCCTGTAAAAGAGAACAAAGTAGATCAAGTCTCCTTATTTAGACTGGTTTCAAAATATATTTCCCCCTGATTTTTAAAAATGTTATTTTGCCCATTGCTGACTAACAGACACTGTTTGAACGTGTGATGTGCTATTGTTATGTGGTTTGCTGGACTGAGCATTGCTGTCCCCTGGAGCGAGGCTGCTAATTGCTGATGTCAGTGGCCTGCTTCTTCAGACTTGCGTGGATCCCTGTTATCGGGCCTCCTGTGGACACTGGCCCCATCCCTGGGCAGGTTGACACTGAAGCCTTGGGTGCTCTTTTTTGTTTAGGTTCTTGGGTCCCAAGATTATGTTTCCTTGTCTGTGTGTCTGTTTTTAGCTGGGACTTTTTTGCTAATACTATAACTTTGTCTAGTTTCTTAGTTCTGGGGTTTTTCTGTCTAGTTTATCCTTCTTCCCAAATCCTTGGGGATTTTGAGGTACAGGTAGATATCAGTCTTAGTGGTAAGATCAGTATCCAAATCTTACATCCATAATTTTCAGATACTCTTTGTTGATTTTTTTGGTGTGCTCTTTTTATTGCTTTGTGAAGTTCAGGCGGTCTAAAAACACATTAACTCATTTATGTATTAACCAGTATGATATTGCATAGTTTTCATTGATTTAGCTGTGATTCACTGAATATTTACTGTGTATTTTGGTGATATCAGCAAGTTGGAAAACAAGTTAGTATTTGTGAAGGTTTCATTTATTGGGTACGTGTAGTTCATTTGGAGCTGAAATTCATTGGCTTGTCAGAACTCTATGTTGTCGCATTGAGTATTGGCCTACCAAAAGTAAGGTCCCAGCTGTATGAATGTGGGTGTATTATTTGGTAATAAGGGGAATGATCAGTGTTCTTAGTTGTGGACAATGGAATCCATACTAACTAGTCTAAGTAGAAAGAGGTACTGATTAGCATACAGAATTTTTGCATATAGAATTTTTGGAAAGACCAGGCACACGTCTGCTTGTATCCGACACGGGCAGAAGTAATGCAGCCAGGAGGAATGCTCATTGACATCCAAGGGCTGTTTGAGCAGAAGTTCCATACTTGCTGCCGCCTGCCACAAAGTTATAGAGTAGACAGCACAACATCTGGAACTTCCTTTTAAGTTTCTGTGGAAAAGCCACATGTCTTTGTGACTGTTTGACATGTATGTGGCTTCCAAATTACAGTGACTCACTTTGGGCTTCAAGTCTTGCACAGGTGTGCCTGCTTGATAGAAACTTCATCCATGTGGTACCTTAGCTGCAAGGGAGTGCAGGAAATACAGTCTTGAGCTTTCCAGTCTCCAGGGTGCAGAAAAGCATTCTAAAACCTGGTATTATGTTAGCTAGTCTGTGCTGTTTGCCATATCAGATTAAAGGCTAATAGTTACTGGCCAATCTTACTGGCCAGTAAATGTTTTATTTGAGGCTAGTGCAAATGGTTAATTTTGGTGTACTACCTATGAAGAACTTAACATGGAAACATATAACATGCAACAGGGTAATGATATTTTTTTAGATTTTTAAGTAATGGATTTTGCCTGTGCTGAATTATGTACTTTATAGATGTATATAGTTTTGCACAATACCCGTACATTTACATATTCATTTGTGGAACGTTATAATTGGGAGCACCAAGTATGGACTGTCCTATCCGGTACTACAAGCTAGTAATGCAAAGGAGGGTGAGATGGTCTATACGCAGGAAGCTCACAGGCTTGGTGTGGCAGTGTTTTTCAGCCGAAAGGTGTATTAAAATTAACCTGTGAAGTTAAAAAATACAAATGTGGCACTTTCTGCTTATGTATCCATTATCTGCCACATGTACGGGCATGAAGTTCCCAAATGAGAGAGACAGAATCCAGGAACCTGCGTATTTAGCAGACTTTCCTGTTGATTCTTAAGCATTCTCCCTTGGCAAATAATCACTGGTCTGGTGGGTCATTGATAACTATTTTGTTTTATTGCGTTTGAAATGTAGAATTATGTGTATTTGCAAGTTATTTCCCACTTTGTTCATGTGCTTTAAAAAGTTCTTTAAATGCATGCATGTTTTACAGGGGCAGAGTTACCCGGGCAAGTTATCTCCATGGCCGCCTCCACGCTGGCCACCTTGGCTATCTCCATCACAGGGTATGAGTCCGGCACGGAAGACCAGCCCTCGGCCCAGCCTGAAGGTGACTGACCTTTGGATGGAATGCCTTCAAAAGCATTCTGGAAAATGAAATGAGCACAGAGTATAAAATGAAGAAAGACACTAGGGTTACAAAATGCTAGTACTGGTCCTTCATTTTTCTCTCTGATTCCTATTCTTACACTTTTTGCTTCTCAACTTTGTTCTCACATATGACCTTTTTCATATATTTAATTATTTACCTTCTTAGGTTCTCACCTTGATTCTTCATTCTTTACCTTTTTTAAAAATGCTTCTTTTTCTTTTTTTTGTTATTTCTCACCCTAATTTCATATTATTTTTCCTTTTCTCAGTGCCCTATTTACCTTTGTCTGTATTTTCCCCCACTTAATCCTTTTTATATTTTCTGTTTCTCCCAAAGCTCACAGTTCTCCTCCATTGTTCTAGTTTGCTGTTGCTTTTTATGTTGCTTTTTTGGTGGTGGTTCTCTTTCTCCAAATCTTCCTTTTGGCTTTTGCTTTCCAACTTCTAGTCATCCATTTCTCTGGCATTACTTGCTTCTCACAGTTTGCTTTGCATGCCTTATGCTGTTAATATGTTGGCTGTTTCTGTTACAACAGACACCTTTGGTTGTCCTGAGGCCAGTGCTCCTGTGAGATCCAGCTGGTTGATTTACATCAGCTTTAAAGCCACACTGTACTCACACAGAGTTCAAGAATGTGAAAGGCTACTCTGCCTGTGCCAAGAGGTCCATTAGTGCCAGAGGTTTTGGAGTTGAGGCTGGTGTGGTTCAGTGGATTGAGTGCTTTCCCACAAACCAGAGGGTCGCTGGTGGGTCGCTGGTTCGATTCCCAGTCAGGGTACATGCCTGGATTGTGGGCCAGGTCCCCAGTTGGGGGTGCATGAGAGGCAACCACACATTGATGTTTCTCTCCCTCTTTTTCTGTCCCTTCCCCTCTCTAAAAAATAAATAAAATCTTTTTTTTTTTTTTTAAAGAAAAGTCTTGAAGGAAGGGGTCAGCTAAGAAAAATGCATTTGGGGTAGAAGGACAACTTACTTGTCTTGCATACTGAATCATGTTTTCAAAGTGGAAAGGGATGATGTTTTGGTTAGGGACTTACTCATCTTCTAAATGTCTGCCACGTCCACCAACATGAAGTTTCCAATTAGAAAGGTAACTCAGAGAGGAAAGTGAAACAGATACGTAACTAGCTTGGACTTTAGCACCAAACCTCAGGAAAGAGTCTTAGTTCTAGTAACTAACAGGCGGGCTGATTTACCGTGGTACTGGTTATATCAGTAGTAAAAATTTACTACAACTAAACATTTAGTGTTAAAAGGAACACTGAGCAAGTTATGATGTAGCACTCAGGGCTGCTGTGTACTTGCTTATGAAAATTTTGAATACAGGGAAGGCATTCTTTCAACAAATACTTACTGAGTGCACTCTGTCAGGTACTGTTCTGTGTGCTAGGAATTCAGGGAAGTGATAACGAGACAGACAAGTTCTTGGCTCTCCTGGGGCTGGTGTTCAGCTGAAGAGAAGGTGGACAGGGATAAGTGGAACACCATCCAGCTGTGTACAACTGTAAAGACTGTGGGGCAGGTACAGGGCTGAGACTATGAGTGGTCTTGTTTCTCTTTTCTTTTGTTGAGACTTTCTGAAATATATACTTTTGTCGATAACTTGTATTTATGGCAGACAAAATGCAAGTTTTAGGATCTTAACTCATTTCTATCATCATGGTATATACTGAGTAATATTGCTTTAAGAGTTACATGTTTTCTGATATATGAGTCATGTATGTTTTGGTAAAATTAGGAAGTAGAAATAATATAGCCCTGAAAACTACCGCCAGCAATCTTGTTTTATGTCTCATTCTAAAAGAAAATCAGAAACACACGTTTCAAAGCCTGGGTTCTTGTAAGAGCAGTTGGCTCCATTTTAGATGAAATGACAATGAAGAGCCCCATTGTGTCAGAAATATATGTAAATGCATCTAATATAAAGTTATATTAAAAGAGAAATTTTTAAACACAGGAATTCTATATGTTAATATTTGTTGCTTTAAAACCATAAGGTTTTAAAATGACCCAAACCAGAGTCATTTTCATGAACTAATTATAATTCTCAGCTATTTTATTATATATTTTTCTTTAGTTTTTTAAAATGATGACTATATTAATAAAGATATATGTCATAAAAAGCTTGAACAGTATAAAGTAAAAATAAAGTATTCCCCGTACCCCACCTACCCCCAATGGATTTAATTAATTTCCCTAAATTTAAACACTGTTGACATTGTTAATACATCACATATATTTCAGTGTATATGGAGACATATATCCGGATCTTATTTTTTCAGCCCAATGAAATCATACGGTCAGAGTACATTTTGAAGACTTTGAAGGCTTAAAGTAGAGCAGCTTAGTGAACTACTCTGTATTACCGTTCACTGCTGAGGACTAAGATGGGGGGGGTGACTTGTTTTGTTTCTTTCTCCAGAAACCATGGACAGAGGAGAACCCCCTCCAACACTGTCCTCTTCCTCTTCCTCCCCTTCACCCACGCTGGGCAGACAGAAGCCAGAAATTGGGACGTTCCTCAGGAAGAAGAAGACGAGCGATGTCTACTTCGTGGCTCTCGTTTGGGCCATCATTGCCGTCCAGCTGTGGCTGAACCTGTGGATTGTGCAGCTGCTGCCAGTGCCGATTGCAGGTAAACATATTTTTGTCTCTTACTTTTGGATTTTAATACTTGGGGTAATTTTACTCTTTTTTTAATTAAATGATCATATGTTTACATTTAAATAATAAGCATTATTTTGAAATTTATTCCTTGATCCCTTCTTAATATTTCTCTTTTATTCTGCCTCTAAATTGTCGTTGTTCTAATCTTGGTTGTGCGTGGAGGTACGGTGCGTCCACCTATGCCTCCATCTTGCCGGAAGTCCCAATATTTCTCTCTTAAGCTCAAAAATATACTTAGCCTCTTGCAGTTTTGTGTGGCATTACAGCCTGACAGTGCTGCGTGGAGAGTTGACTGCTCGGCCGTCCGTGGTTCTGTGGAGGAGAAGGTTAGCACTCTGGATTTTGGGGTTTATGATTGAATTTTCAGCGCTGCTCTGAATGAAGTGCACTTTACATTTTACATTGCATTTTTAATTAAGTAGAAATGTAGGTTTTAAGAACTATATGTATGCAAAGTTGTGATATTTTTGTCTGGCAGAAAAGTATATTATATATACATTATATGTTTTATATCAAAGTGGAAGTATATAACTTTTCATGAATCATTAAACTAGGTCTTTGTGCCTGAATACCATGGTAATTTAAGGCCCACCTCGATACTTCCTAAAGGTGACCTTTAATGCTGTCAAGAGCAAGGAAGAGTTTTCGCTGACTCAGGTGCATTGTAGAAGAGTCTTTTATAATTTCCTGGGTGTTTGGGTTTTTTTTCTTGTTGCAGTCACAGCCTTTGCTAACTTTATGAAGTGCCCAGCTGATGCTCAGGATCCTGCCCTGTAGACACCTCCTGCATCTGATTAGTCCTGTCTCCCACATCAGAGTTTCTCACTGTTGATTTAAATGTAATTGGATTATTAGAAGGCTGTTTTCTACCATGCTCTAACCTTATTGGACCTTTATTCTTCTAGATCATTACTTTTCAAACTTATTATTCTCATTAAATTGGGCAGTTAATTAAATACCGCTTCTTTAAAGATTTGTTATGAACAGAACACTGTATAGTGCCTGTCCTTAGGGAACATGAAATGTACATGGTTGAAGTTTGTATCTGCTTATTACATCTTCAAGCAAAACTGTTTGGCAGTTGGGGCAAGGACAGTTGTAATTAAGCAAGTCACAGAGTTCATGCAGCCATGCTTTCTGTTAGGGAATTTATAGAGATGCTTAGTGACAGCTTAAGTTGCTCTTCTGGATTGTTTCATACTTCTTTGGTTTTGCCAGATGATTTCATTTATGCTGGAAAATCACGAGTCAGGCACTATTGGAAACCCTTTTTCTTTGAAGTTTATTATTAGCAAGCATTACTTTTGTTGTAGTCACTTCATAATTCTCAGGCCATCATAGGAATTTGACACGGCTCGGGACAGCAGGCAGGGAACAGGGTTGTCCCCGAAGATATCTACAGTCTATAGATACCTGGGCTTATTCTAGAGACTATAGGAACTCTCTTGGGGCCTCTCTAGAGATTTAAAAATGCCAATGAAGGAATTGTGGAACTGGTATATAAAGCTGAGCTCATGGTTCAAAACAGTAAACCGTGAAGCATTTAGAAACACCTGGAGTTAGAGAAATTGTAGTGGTTGGGTCAATTATTCAAACTTGAAGGTTTCCTTCACAGGTAAGTAACACTTCTTTCTAGTCTCACCACTTTCGTAGTTGGCCTTTAACAGGAAATTTAAACCCTGCTTGAGGGGTCACCTCACAGCCTAACTGCAGAGGGCTGCATTCATGTTGTGGTCTGTGAGTGAAGGTGCGCAGCGCCCAGCCTCAGAGGCCATTCAGAACAGCCCTGCGTGTGCCCAGCCTGCTGCTCTACTGCAGACTGGTAAACGATTGGGATGTACGTCCCTGGCTGGTGTGGCTCAGTTGGTTGGGCAGCGCAGATCAAAAGGGCATGGGTTTGATCCCCAGTCCGGGCACATGCCTAGGTTGTTCTGTCCCCGCTGTCTCACCCCCACAATACCTGTCCCTAAACTCTCTCTCCCTTTTTCGCTGTCTAAAAGCATGAAAAAATCTCCTTGAGTAGGAATTAAAAAAATAGATGCAAAGCCCTGGCTGGCATAGCTCAGTGGATTGAGCTGGCCTGGGAACCAAAGTGTCTCAGGTTCGATTCCCAGCCAGGGTACATTCCTGGGTTGCAGGCCAGAAGCCCCAGCAACTGCACATTGATATCTCTCTCTCTCTCTCTCCCTCCCTCCCTCCCTTCCTTCTCTAAAAATAAACAAACAAACAAACAAACAAACAAATAAATAAATCTTAAAAAAATAGATGCAGATGTATAGAGCAACATCAAGTAGAGAAATAAGAACATAAATGAAAATGTTACCTGCAGTGGCATAAAACCATGATGCACGTGGAATACCTTTATGTTCTTGGTCGTTACACATAAAAAAATAGAAACTGAGTGGCCAAAGCAGCTATAATAGCCAAAGGGATTAGGACATGTCAGGGATGAGTATTCTTTACCCCAGAAGGGGCAAGGTGTGAGGCCTCAGGTTGTAGTCACTGGAATTGTCACGGTCAGAGTAGCTTACATGTATACAGGCTGTAAAATAATCCCGGACTACTTCAGGGCTTCAGCCTCTACAAAGAAGGTGGTATGTATAAGGGCAAGTGGAGACTGTGTGAGAAGTTGTTTGTCCCAATACCATCAGTTTGGAATACCTTGGATTTCCTTACCTCCCCCTCTCCTTTTTTAAAATTGATTTTCATGTCAATACTAGCTTTACTGTTTTAGAAAGGTCACATGAAACTAGAGGACCTTTTCCCGTTATGACTTTGTAATCTCTGTTTGTTCATACATGTACTTCTTATCTTCTTTGTAGTCTGGGTACTCAAAAAGCTCATCATTCACTTTGGAGTTGTGAACTTCTTGGAGCAGCGCTGCTACGTGTGGTGGCAGGCCGTGGAGAACTTCCTCAGGGAGCGGCAGGAAGCTCTAGCGCCGTGGCCAGTCATCGGGCTCGGGAAATTCCTGCTAAAAGTTGATAGCAAGGTATTGTATTTTTAAGAACTGGGACTGTTTTAATGGAGTTTGTATATTTCATTGTAGGAAATGTCCTATTTAGTGTTTATACTGGAATTTTTGACAACACATTTAAAATCTAATTCTCTAATGACATTTAATGTTTATAATTGTGGTTTATATAAGGATAGGATATATTTATTTTAAATAATTATAAGTTCAATCAAATTGAAATCCAGGGACGTTAACTGACTTGTAAAAATTATATAGCCAGGTAGTGGCTCAGTTCAGTAAATATTTTTGGAATAATTTCCAGGTCTAGGGAAGAGCAGATGAATCATGGACACCTAGATGCTGAAGTTCTGTTGAGGGAGAGAGAGCAGTCCGTTAAAATTTAGACACAGTTGTTAGATTCAGAGGCTTAGCATGGGCTCTGAATCCAAATTCTGGTTTCAAGTCCCAGTTCAGCTATTTCTTAGCTGTGTGACCTTGGATAAATTTCTTAATCTATCACTGCCTTTGTTTCCTTATTAACACAATGAGTGTAAAGCATGTACCTCATAGATTGGTTTGTGTGTTAAATGAGTTATTACGTGCACAGTGAACTCTATACAAGTGTTAGCTGTTACAATTTGTGGAGGAAGAGTATGGGGTTGGCCAAAAAGTCCATTTAGTTTTTACCGTAAAATAAGACATTTTTCATTTTCACCAGTAACTTTATTGATTTGGTTATTTTGAGTATGTTGGCTGTTTCCTGTGTGGTATAATGTGGATTGTTCCAAGTAATGTCTCAGTTTGATCGCTGTCAACTTTGGCTGGTCTACCTGACTGTGGAGCATCGTCCAATGAGAATCTCCAGCACGAAACTTTACAAACCGCCTTGACAAGGGTTCAATCAGTCACAGCACCTTCTCCATACACTGCACAAATATTTTTTTGCACTTGTTACATTTTTACCTTTCTTGAAATAATAAAGCATAATATGCCAAAAATGTTGCAGATTTTCTTCCATCTTCAAGATTAAAATAGCTACACAAAAAATTCACCAATTTTGATACTTTTTTTAAAATGCACACTGATACGACAGTAGTCTCAATACAATCTAACAAAATTGTTTTGAATGAAGATAAGAATAACTAAGTGCTACAGAGCAGTTTCGGGGGAACCGAACGAACTTTTTGGCCAACCCAATATGGATGGGATACAGTTGTAGTACTGAGGGAAAAAAATGACTCACTGTTGGTGAGGCAGTGGGAGAGGGGTGGTTTTGTAGAGGGGATGATGCTAGGGCAAATTCTGAAGCACAAGCGGGAGTTATGTGGCTAGAGCAGTGCAAAGGCCCAGAGACTTCCACAACGTGAATGCTTAGGGGTGGCCAAGAAGCTGGTCAGGGCTGGGTGTATGAAATGGTGATTACTGGGCGGTGAGCCTGGAGGGGCAGGTACGGCTGGAACAAGAAGGTCTTTCTGTGTGCCATGCTGTGCGAGCTGGACTTCATCACAGCGGCTAGTCACCGTTTTCTTTAACAGGTCTAATCGTGACTTAAGATTGGGAAATACTGTAGGCGAAACCAGTGTAGATGTAGATGAGAATAGTACTGGAGTGCATGTAGAGGGGAGGTCGTAAACCTTTAAACGCGTAGTACAATATCCTGGGTCAAAGGAGAAGAAGCAAGGGGTACATTTTCTCACATACCTCCTGTCTTCCAGAGAATTTACCAGTTTTGTATTTCCCACCAGTGCAACATATGGAATACCTAGTTCCTTGAGCCCTTTCCAAGGAATATCATAGTGACAAAAAGGCCTTTTTGGTTTTGTAAAAAGTATCTCAGTGTTGTTTTAATCTAAAATTTTAAAAAATAAAAGTAAGGCTGATTATCCTTTTATATCCTTATTGGCTAAGCATATTTTTCGTTTGTAATTTGCCTATTTGTATTTTCACTAATTTTTTAAACTTTTTTAAAATAAGAAGGAATCTAAGACTTTGCATAAATTTCAACATATTTATCATATCTCCCTGGTATTGGGATGAAGCTTTATCTTATTAGAGCAGATTTAGCAGTTCAAACTGTTTAATGTCTTTGTCTTTCCACTGTAATAACTTGCTTTTCTTGTAGAAAAGTGTGTGTGCTTAAAAATTGGGGTAGAAGGAAATACACCAAATAGAAGCAGAACCTTAGATATGCCTGCATTTTGGCGAGGTGTCCTCTGTTCCAAAGGAGCACTGAGATGTTTTACTTTGAATAACTAATACTATAAAGCTGCAACTACAAAGTTCAATGAAAATGTAACATAGGAACACAAACTGGTTTATACAGAGACTGAAAATCCTTTCGGTACATGATGTGTGAAAGGATCTTAATTATTACTCTAATATTTGGAATTTAGTGTGGCTATTGAAAGCTACAAACTTTCAGCTTATTTTATGTGTTTTTAATTGTTGAATTGCCAGCAAAGCTTGTGGTTATCTTCATTGTAATCATTGTATATCTTACAGGAGTACTACATTCACGTGATTTTGTAACTTTGTTAATGCATTACGGTTTTTTTCCTAGTTTTTCTTTTGTCTGGGATAATTTCCTCCTCATGCTGTCAGTGACTTTCTTTTCTTTCTTCTCATACTGTTATTGCATTCTCTAATGATATTCCACTGTTCTTATCTTCTCTTCCTCACCTTACCCCCCATCCTCAAGCTCTGGCACTGGCTAAATAAGAAGGTAAATGAACACGTGGATGTTGGTTTTTACTGTTCAGTTCTGTAACTTCTCCCTGTATCTCCATTCTCACTCTGTTTCTGTCTGTATCACAACTAAATTTTTGTTATTAAAGTCCTAATTATAAGCTATGGAAGGTCATGAAGCATTGATACTGTCACAGTACAATTTTTCTGAAATCCCAAAGTTGTTTTATTCAGGATATGGGTGGTATCTCCCTGCTGGAGTGTGTGTAAGAAGTTCTGTCTTGTAGTCCTTGCATGCACTGTGGTTCCCACGCCTGTGCAGCTCTGGAGGGTCAGTCTGACCCCCGCGTCCCCGGGAAGTGTGAGAGCGCATCGGCAGTCGTTCCTGACAAGGGGCGAGGGATCTTCACTGCTAGTTTTCCTTTACGTGACACAGGAAGTTTTCCGAAGATGAATCTGTGAAGTTATTTTGTGCAGTTCCCTAGCCTGGTGATTTTGTGTATTGTCTTTTTTTTATAACTAGTATTCCCAAATTTTATTTTTAACTTAAAAAAGATGATATCATGACCTATGACATCTAACTTCATGTGTTTCCCAAGATGTAGGTTGTATCTGTGGTAAATGATTTCCATGATTGGCTTGGAATTTTAAAGGTACATTTTTAGTAACTTCCGTAATGGCTAATCCAGACATAATTGAAGTGATACACCTCTAACATATAGTCTGAGTGTGGTAGTTCTAGATTTAATTTCATTGAATCCCTAGGACAGATAGCAAGAGGGTAACATCGTTTACATGCATTGTGTTTAAATACAGTAAACTCTGAAAGTTTTCAGTGCAGATATTATCACAGGCTTTAAGAAAAAGATGGAAATAGATCAGAATGACACTTTTATGTGCAGAGATTAGGATTTCATTCTGTTGAAACAGGAAAGGGGAGACTTGATAATGCCTAAAGGATTAAATTTTGGGTTGAAAATAAGCAGTGTGTAAACTGTAACTAGAACACACACACACACACGGATGGTTTATACACCTCCATTTCCCACAAAACTAGTCTAAGTAAATTAGTTTAATCCTTGGCTGGTGATAGTTCTGCAAACGTCACTTTTTTCTTATTTCTGATCAAAGTAGGTAGTTTAATGTTTTTTCCTAATTTGTATATATATGTTGAAATAAAGTTTTCCTCAAGAGATGATAGAAAGGAGGCCTAAAGTCATTAGGTTTAGTTTGAGTTAAAGCTAAATGAGTTAGATTACCTAATTTATGAGCCTAATTCACAGCTGACTAATGAGTGAGTTTTAAAAGATTCCTAAGAGACCAAGTAGCTTTTTTCTTGTCCTTGCTGATTCCATGTAGCATAGGTAAACCACTGATGCAGAGGTGGAGTGACTGCTTGAAGTTCTGAGAGTGTGTGCTCTAGGAGAGCATGTAAATGGGTTGAAGATGATTATTTTTTTTTTATTTTTAAAAATCTTCACCCTAGGATATTCCCATTGATCTTAGAGAGAGAAAGAGAAACGTCAATGTGAGAGAGAAACATTGATTGATTGCCCCTCCCTCCCACCACCTACCCCATTGGGGGATAAACCCGCAACCCAGGAATGTGCCCTGGCTAGGGATTGAACCTACAGTTCTTTAGTCTGTGGGACACGCTCCAACCATTTGAGCCACCTGGCAAGAGAGAACTGAAGATTATTTTATTACTTCCAAGGTCAGAAAATGGCAGTGTTCCAAGTTCAAGTAGAGTGGAGTAGGAACTGAGAGAAGTGAGGGTGAGAGACAACACATCTTATGGTTAATTAAATTGCGGCCTACTTCCTTCCCAAGGCTTAATTATTTCTTAGTGTTGGTTATATGTACTGAGACTCACCTAGATGTAGTTAAAAAACAAAGCAAAATAAAATCCTACAGGCCTACCTTCATGGTAGAATCGAAAACTAAGTAGTGGCATGACACTTTTTAGATAGCTTGATAAATAAGACCAGTAGTTTAGAAATTTGAGTGTCTTGATATAACTATAAATTCATCAACACCTCTACGTTTTTTCACTTAAAACATTCAGAATGTCATTTGAAAATTTCTCCTCCTTTTAGAAAATAAAGTTCAAAAACCAAAATAATTCTCACAGCGTGGAAGACTGGGGAAAGTTCTAGGGACTGCAGTTTCCATGAGCAAGGCACGGTTGACAGGGGTGTGGTTTCCTTTGCCCAACACAGAGTGCAGGGCAGGGGCAGTCCAGGAGCAGAGCCTCTGGCACTCCTCAGGATTCTCTCCCCCCTCCTTCCCCTTCTCCATTGTGTGTGCTTCCTCCGTGTGTGTTTGTCTTTCTGTGTGTGAGTGTTTCCTCTGAGTTTTGTTCCATTCACTCTTCCAGGGAGTTCTTTTCCTCCAAAAAAGTTTTCTGTTCATTTTGTTTTTCCTCCTCTTTTGGTCCTTAGTTCTACACACCAACTCCCTCCTCCCCACATTTTTTCCTTCTCTTATCTTGACCTTTTCTGTCTCCCTTTATTCTTTAATAAGCCTGCACCTGTCTTTCCTGCTCCTCTGTCTCTTTTGTAGTCTCTCTTTTTGTCTGTTTTTTTTTCCATCTAATGTTAGCCAGCCATAATGTGAATAGAAACCCCTTTAACTTTTTTACCTTATGTATTGAGTATCCTAAATGATTTTGTTTATTTTAAATTTTGAGTGAAATATCTAACCCTTACTATTATCCCTTGAATGTAAATTTTTGTTTAGGTGGCTCTTAATGTGGGTTTTTTTTACAACCCTTTGTTACACGGTTTATGATAGGAAAATTCTACTCTTGTTGAAAAACATAACATTTGATTTTGTAATGTTGATGTACATAATGTTTGTGAATATTCTTTGTTTTATATGTTAAAAATACCCAGACATAAATTTAGATATTTGTACTTTGTAAATAGGACATTTATGTTAAAAAAAATACATTTTAGGATATGACTTTTCATTAAAAAATGGAGGCTCCCAAGCTATTTTCAGAAGTTGTAATTTGTGAATACAAATCTGGTCTTAATTCTGAAATTATTTTATTTATGCTGGCCTATTTAGATATGTGTTAACTTAGCTTTTACTGTGTGCCATTCACTGAGATTTTGAAGAACAAAGAGGAATAATACAACACTAGCCCTTTCTTTGGGGCGTTGTCTCAAGAAGGAGGTGTAGAGTTGGTTTCGGATTGTGGAACTTTCCAGTTTCATTGATTTTACAACTTATATTCAAAATACGATGTCTGACCTTCCATATCTTAGAAACCTGTTATTTTTTTAAATCTCTGCATTGTCTTCAATGCTTTGGTAGCATGCACTGAAAATTAACTTTTCTGTTTGAAGCTCTAATTGTCAAGATGGAAGATGAACATTTTATTCTTGAGTTTACAATAGCATTGATCTCTTAGTGACAGTTTCCTTCACGAAAGATAAAGGGGATGCAGGCTTTTAAGCCTTGAGTGGAAAATAAATGTTTTATAAGTCATGCCCCCCCCCCCCCACTTTAACCACCTTTTTTTTTTTGCTTTTGGATGCTTAACTCATTGTTTGGAGAGCATATTTCAGATTTAAGTTAGGAATAACTTCTTCAGTGATGCTGTAGCTCATGCTGGGGTTGAGGCGTGCAAAGTGGTATTTCAGCAGTCATATGTCTAATTGATTGCGTTTTCTAACTGTTAAATAATAGCTTTGCATGGAAGGAATTCTACAAATCTATCGGAATGATATATTCTGAAACTAAAACTTTTATGGGTAGGATTATTTGTGATTGTGAAACCTAAGAGAAGTCATACTCAAAATAGACTGTCTAATAGCACTTAGGGCCCCAACTGGTGTGGCTCATTTGGTTGGGCAGCGTCCTGCAAAGTGAAAGCTCACTGGTTCGTGCATGCCCGGGCTGCGGGTTTGCCCCCTGCGTGTGAGAGGCAGCTGACCGATGTGTCTCACGTCGATGTGTCTCTCCCTCTCTCCCTCCCTCCCTTTCCCTCTCTCAAAAAATAAATAAATAAAAGTCTTTTTTACAAATTTAGGGAGAACACAATTTTATTGATTATTTTTTATTTTCAGTCAGTTATTTTTCATATAACTAATGTTTTAAAAATAATAGAAAATTTCAGTAGAATGTAATGTTTTAGAAGTATTTTATTATGGATTATTTTAAATATTAAAAGATGTAACATTAATTATATAATTGAGGTGTATTCCTTCCTGATTTTTTCCCACCCAGAGGAACTATAATTCTGAAATTAGTATTTATCATGATCATAACATTAACTTTTTATTATTACTGTTTTTGTAACTCCAACAACATCAAAGGAAAAACATTGAAAGTAATTCCTATTTTAATTTGCTCCTATTTTATCTATGCATAATTTTGGGCATAGCTGTTTTATAAAAGGCATATTTTTTCTAAAGTCATCTATATTTGCTCATTGACAGTAAAATTTCATAAAACTTGAAGTTGGCTAATGGTCTTTATTTTATTTAGAATATTTACCAGATTGTAAATTATAATTTGAAATGTAGATATACCACAGTACGAGAATTCAAACATAAAGGTTATGTTCAAATTGACTGCTTTTTCTTAGATATGACAATAATAAACTCTTTATATAACAGCAGTAATTAATACTGTTCGTTAATTTTATAAAGTTGCCTACAGCTTTCACTGCTTTAGTCATTATTCCATAGTCTGCTTCGCAGTGCTGAATATCCTGTTTTGTCGTCATTGTATTTGAATGCATGTGTGTTTTTATTAAGTTGTACTTTAATTAATTTTCTTTTTCATTTCTGTGCAGATGATCATCTGGTTGGAGAAGATGTTAGACAAAATAATTAGCATTTTCATCATATTTTTGTTAGTGATAGGAACCCTTCTTTTAGCCCTGCTCCTGACTGCAAAGGTAGAGTACAGCAGTTCCTGTTACCATTAATCAACTCTTAATTGCTAGATTTGTATGGATAACCAGCTGGTAGAAACAGAATGTAAAATGTTAACTTTGCTTGTAAATATGTATAGCAGCTAAAACATTTGTAAATTTTGTATTACTGGTTTTGCTATGAATTTGCTTAGTATATTTTTACATGCATTTTTATTTTATCATCAGCATATACCTCAGGTAAATACAGATGACAAAATTGAGATACAGAGGAATAAGCAGCTTCTTCTGTGAACAGGAAAACTATGATCTAGTGTTACAGCTTGTAATCTAGTTAGTACCTTGTTTACTAGATCAGAATTTTTTGACTAGCTCCTTTCCTTCTTGTCTCATTGGCCCTTCTGCTGATACACCATTGATCCTTATTTCTCAGTCTCCGGGTCCTTCCAGCTTGCATTTCCTCTTCCCCTTCTTTGCTCAGACTGCTGTAACAGTACCATAGACTAGGCAGCTTGAACAACAGTTATTCCTCAGTTCTGGAGGCGGAAGCCCCAGGTCAGGTTCCAGCAGGGTTAAGTTCTTGGTGAGGGCCGCTTTTCTGGTTTACAGATGGCCGTCTTCTCTTTGTATCCCTGCAAAGTGGGGAGAAAGGTCCTCTCTCTCCTGTGCTCTTACAAGGGCACTAACCTCATTCGTGAAGGCTCCACCCTCATGACCTAATTACTTCTCAGAGGCCCGACCTCTTAATCATTGCATTGGAGGTTAGGATCTCAGCATATGAATTTGGGGGAATATAATCATTCAGTTCATAACACTCATCAAAGAAAATTGTTCTTCCGAGTGCAGCTAAAAGTGTCTCTTCAGTGATAACTTACTGACTTCTGTTTTTCTGATTTCTATAGTGTAGTTTAACCTTTAGTTCATCTGACTTTGCCGAACTCCACAATCCAGATTTTGATTTGCTGTGTTCAAAGAATCATGAACATGAAAAATGTTTATATAGTACTGTAGAGATATAGTAGTGACTTACTGATACACAACCTAATATGCAGCCATTTGCTAAAGGATTGCATTGTTTTTTGCTACATGACATCTCTATTGGATGTCCTGTTCTTCTCAGTCTCAGTGTGCCCTCATTCTTACCATTTGCTCCTAAAAACCTGCTCTCCTAGTACTTCTGTTTCTGTCTTTATACAGTTCCTATCTTTTCTTTGGGCATTAATTATGTATAGTACAGTTACTTATATGGACTGTACAGACTTGTTTAGAGACCTTTGTTTTCATCATATTTCACCTAAACCTGTCACTGTATAATCTTTCGTTCTTGATCTTAGAGAAACCTTTTCACTAGTATGGTCTTTTGTTTTCCTTTCTTTTCTCTCTCCTGCTTGTCTTCTATTCCACTTTTTCTTCTTTGCCGCTTTTCATAGGGTCTTCTCGCCTGCCCATGTCACTTAGTTCATCTTTCAAGTTTTTTTTTTCTTTGCTCATTCTGTTCAATGAGCTTTTGCTTCCTTGAACTTTGATAACATATGTTACTGAACCACTTCTTTGTCCTCTAGGACTCAGGCCAACTGAGCTTTTGAAGGAAACCTACCAGTTATCTAATTTATTCTCTTAGCCAATAAAGGGATCATTCTGTAAAACACCATGACAGTGTCTATGTGAGTGTCTAGTAGACAGCTCAAATGCAGCATGTCAGAACTGAATTTCAGACTCCCCTCGCTTGTCTGTTCTTCTTACAGTCTTCCCATTTTAGTAAACAGCAGTTCCATTCTGCTTGCTCAGGTGAAAAGCCTCGGGGTCATCCTTGACTACTATCTTTTGTTTGTATCTACATCCAGTTTGTTCCAGGGGCCTTTTTGGCTCTATCTTCCTAATATACTGTAGGGTAATAGCAGGGTGAGGATATCAGGTAATTGCTCTCCACAGAAAACAAGAATAAAGTGGAGAAAAATGTTAAAATGCCATATCAGGACATTGGAAAATGATCAGTTAGCCACCTTGAGGAGTATTTGCTCATAAAAAACTACTACTGCACCTAGTAAAAACAGGTAGTTTGTGGCTTTCTTGCTTGGAGTTATTCTCATCCTTCCTCACTTAGACAGCAAGAACTTGCAACTTGCCCTGTGGGAAGTGATGGATGTGGTTTGGGGCTGACAGCAGAGCAGCTCTAAATTAAAGCAGGAGATTCTGGAAGCAAGAAAGCCATATAAGGGCTGAAATTACTAAGCTTCTCATCTTAGACTGATTGCCAACCTATGTATGTGTATGGGAGCCCTGTGCATGTTGACGCCTGGGGAGCTTTGCAGATTTGTGCCTTTGATTGCATTTCTCCTTGCACACATCTCAGGTTGCGGAGGAGGAAGCTTTTCTTTTGTGAAGCTTCTGAGGGTGGTGTTTGCCAGAATTATTCAGCTGACTGCTAAGCTATGCAGGTCCAGGGAAAACCCTTAGGGATTAGGCTTTAAAATAAGTGGATAAATCAATGAATAAAAACCACTGAGCAGAGACATCAGTGGCAGGGATGATCGAAATTTTTGTTTTGGGGTTGTTTGTTTGTTTTTTTTGTTTTTGTTTTTTTTTTTTTGGTTTGAGTACAGATAAGGTAGCTACTTAATGAAACAAAATAACACAGCTCTCAGAAGAACAAAATAATCCAGAGTTGCTACAACATGTTTTTAGTGTCCAGTTTCTAGCCAAGAATTACTAGACATACAAAGAAATAGAAGAATGTGACTCATACTCAGGGGCAAAGACAAAACAATCAAAGAGATGGACACTTAAGTGGCCCAGGTGTTGGATTTAGCAGACAAAAGCTTCACAGCACCTATTGTAAATATATTCAAAGAATTAAAAGTATGCCAAGAACAAACACATGCAGACTCTCAACAGAGAAATGGACACTAAAAACAGAACCAAATAGAAATCTTAGGGCTGCAAAGAACAATAACAAGTAGGAAATTAGATAGACACATCAGTAGATTTGAAATCAAGGGAAAAAAATCAGTGAACTTGAAGAAAGATCAATAAAAATATCCAATCTGAAGAGCATGGATTCCTTGAAATACTTTACTGGAAGTAAGTTAGTATTAGCGTGAAAGAGATCATGATAAATTAATAATGCTAGGTGTGATACGTTTAAGATAAGTCACAACCACTAAATAACCCTAGTTTTAGGGCCGCTGAAATGCTATGAAAATAATTCCCTAATACAAAAGGTGTCTGTAAAAGAGGAGCCATAGAGATGAGATGGTTGGAAAGCAATAGCAAAATAGCAGACCTAAATCCAGTCATCTCAATGCTTGTATTAAATGGGAGGCAACTAAACAATTGAAAAATACAGATATTTCAGATGATATAAAAAAGCAGTTTCCAACTGAATCACATAAGAGATAACACTTTAAATGCAAAGATATTAAAGGATTTGGTAGTAAAAGGATTAAAAATGATATACCATGTGAACTGTAAACATAGGAGATGTGGCGTGATTATATTAATATCAGACAACATAATTAAATATTACTAGAAACAAATAAAAGACTTTTATAATGAGTTAATACTGCAGTAGGATACAACAATTATGGATGTGTATATTCTAACAACGGAGCTCTAAATATTGGAGCAAAATATTCAGAATTAGAAGGAGAAATAGACAAATCAAAGATTATAGTTAGAGATTGAATAATACTCTTCATGTAATAGGAGAATAAGTAGGTTGAAAATTAATGAGGATTAAAAGCCTTGAAAATGCTGTCAGTCAATTTGACCTAATTGACAGTAGCAGAATCATGTTCTTTTCAATTAAGTATGGAATACTTGTGAGGATAAACCGTATGCTCAACGTGCTTAATAAATTTAAACAAAGTAAAATCCTGCAGAGCCTGTCCCCTGACATTGGCTTGGGTTTAATTTTTTATCTCCCTCATTTTGCCGATTATTGAGCAAGGTAAATTTGGAACAGTTTCAGCTGGCTTTTTTTTTTTTTTTTTTTTTACTCAGAAACCTTCCTCAGTTGCTTATGTTTGCCTGTGTATCTCACATTGCATTATAATTCTTTAGGCTCATGTGATACTGCTTACATATACATACACATATATGAACTAAATATATTTGTATATTACTGTGTATATGTATTTATTTACATATTTCTCTTAAGTGAATCATTGAGTTTCCTGAAGGCAAGGCGCTGTTATGTCCATGTATTTCCCATAGTGTGCGTCACACGGTGTTATGTGTAGCAGCTGCTGAGTGCAGGTTCCTAAATTGTTTGTAACTAAGATGTGTGGTTATCTGACTCCAAAATATTGTTCCAGTAATAGTGTAGAAAAATAAATGTAGAGTTGCATTCACTTTTTATTGAGATTCTTTTCTCTCCTCCTCTGTGATGCAGGTCCATCAAGAGAGCGTACACATGATCGAAGTCACAAGCAGCTTGATTAATGAAACTCTAGCAAATCACCCTGAGTGGGCAAAGTAAGAATATTGTTTTGCAATGACAAAAATAGTTGCACGACCTAGGTTCAGTATGAGGTGGTCTTCAGGCGGCTGCCTTGAAGGAGAAAAGATTGCGTTTGCTAAAGCTTTGATGGAAGTTGTCATTTTTGCACGAGAATTGCACGTAATGTGGGAGAGGGGGCATTGGGGAAGTGCTTAAGGTTTCAGACACGGTTTATAGTACTTACATCTGAATCGAGGTTTGCAGTTCACAGCTTGTTCGGATTTACAAAGTACGGTCACCTGCATTGTGTCCTGTCTTCCTGACAGTGACTGTGCAGTAGGTTAAAGAGATTATCACTGTTGCCCAAACCAGGAAACAGGATCAGAGGTTAAGGACTTGAGGTAATGATCCCCCAGTGGCAGAGTCAGCACTTCACCCTGTGCTTCTGATGGAGTATTCCTCCTTGTAGGAGGGTTTTAAAAAGCTGTTTAGACTTTGGTCGTTCATGGAAGGTCTGATTCTTTTGCAGCAAATTGGTGGGGTTAGATATGAATTAATAGTACTGGTTTCTTGCAAATCTCAGTATTCAGTAAATTCCTGCCCCGAAGAAGGCAGTTGACCTTGTGAGAAATTCTGTGGGTAGTCCTAATGGAGGGGATACAATGAAGAATTGATCAAATATATTTTCTGCCAGTATGGGGCACATTGTATATGTCTCATGTAGGTGCCCTCTCTGTGGATGTGCTTGGTGAGCTGGTGGATGAATTTGAAAGACTTAGGGTAGGGTCATCATCCTAGCAGAGCTTCAGAGAAAATGAAGTTGAAGTTAGAGCACATCTTAATTCTTGTCTTGGGCAATTCTGTTAGTTTGGAACCCGTTTTCTACTTTCTACTGACTAGAAAGTATGTAGAAACATACACGGTATGTCAGAAATTTCCCTTTACTTCTGCATAATTCTTGGGGCTGTTCTCTTTAAAGGTCATACTGTGGTGTAGATTAACCTTTACCCAGAAAGGTGAGGGTAGGCTATTCCTAACGGAAGGAACTTGGTTTCTACTGAGAGTTGGAAAATCACTGTATTTTTGCTGTGTATAGTGCACACCCATGTTTTTGGCCCAAACTTTCAGGAGAAAAATCTTCCATTTTAATTTTTTAATTCAGTTACTTATTTATTTATATTTAGATACTTGGTTTTTTGTATTATAAAGGAATTTTAACATTTATTTTTGGACATATTATGGTATAAGAGGTTTTTTGTAACAAATAATTACAAATCACAAGAACAGATACAAGGTATTTCAGGTACTATCCACGTATAATACACATCCTTATTTTTCCCTAAAAAATTGGGGCAAATTAGTGTGCATTATAGGAGGAAAAGTGTGGTAGTAATTTGCTGAAGTAGTGACTGTCCTAAGGAAGGAGCTCAGTAGAGAAGCTGTGTTTGGTGTAAGATCGAGGCACATCCCAGCTGGTCACAGCCAAGGTTGCTTGGGTGTTACAGGCCCCACGGTCCCTAGAGGGCGCTTATTGCAGGGAGGTCTAGACTGAATAAGGCCTTTGACTCGGCCTCAGGACAACTTCTCGTATCTGTTGCTCTTAAGACACCTGCATGAGTGTGTTAGTGGAGTGTCTTCACTGAAGCCAGCAGGACTTTTTATCAGGCCTGATAGATGTCTGTTCGTCATTACGGGTCTATCCAGACGCCTCTGCAAGTCCTACGCTTTTGAATATCACTACAGGATACAACTTTCCCCATAAAGATATAGTACTGTGTAATTGAAAATAATTAGGAGTCCCTTCAAACCACTGTTGAATCTATAAATACTAGAGTAATTTAAAGGCTACTTAAATTAATTTCTCCCAAATCACATCTCTATTTAGAGATCCAAATTTCCTGGTCATATCCTTGTACTGTAAGATTATTATAAGTATCTCTAAAGTTTTGTCTTGCTAAGAAATACTTGAACTGACTGAAACTTTGTAAAAGCTTCATAAATACTTGGTTTATGTGGAGTATGTGATGAACTGGTTAATATTAAAGATGCAAACCAATTTGTGAATGTCAACATCTTTAGTATACAACATTGTGAGGAGCAGTTAGCGTATGTGGCCCTGGCTGGTGTGGCCCAGTGAGTCGAGCGCCAGCCTGGGAGCTGAAAGATTGCGGTAAGGGTTCTTTGACTTAACCTTGACGGGGTTGCGGGCCCCCAGTTGGGGTGTGCGAGAGGCAACTGATCAATATTTCACATATTAGTGTTTCTTTCCCTCTCTTCCCTTCTCTTTAAAAATAAATAAATAAAGTCCTTTAAAAAAAGGAGAGAGAATATATGAAAATATTTTTTCCTTTGGAAAACATTGGGCATGTGTCATCTATTGCTGATGAAAGGAAAAGCCTGTTTAGTTGACAAGGAGATGGGGAGGCCACTTCTCACTGCCACATTAGGAGTCACGTTTGTAGACTGCAGTTCTTTGTACAGATGGAACTCTGCTCAGGAGTTCCTCACATCTGAAAGAAAATGATCTTCAATAAATAGAACATTGAAAACAGTGATTCACCCTCTTACTTTTTTTATTGTCTCTACTTCCTCAGATCAGTGGCTCTCCAATGTTAGCATGCACCAGAGTCACCTTCAGGGCTTGTTGGTACTGATGGCTGGACTCTGGCCCCAGAGTTCGGTTTTCAGTGGGTCTGGGTTAGGGCCAGGTTTCTAAGCAGTTCTGGTGTTTCAGGTCCATGGACCGCAGTTTGAGAACCACCATTGTGGATCCCAGATGCTGACCATCATAATTTCAGAATCGCTTTCTCTGGTGCTATCTGAATATGGCAAATGGCTCAGGATTTGAGGGTCAGAAAAACCCAGCAGAGCAGAATGACTGAGAGGCTGTAGGGAAAGTGGATCTAAAAGATAAGGAAAGCTTGAAGAGCTATTTCATATATTAGAATTTGTCCAGTTAGGCAGAGAAGTCAAGGATTCCTGTGTGTGATTCATTTGTATCTCTGTGTTGATGACTTATCAGCTGTCTGTCAGTTACTGATTATTTAAATGCATTGGGTTCAAATAGTTACTGGTGCAGAACACTAAAAGTGTAGTAATTTTTCTTTTTTTTCTTTCTTTATTTTGAATTAGTTGGCTTCCTGAGGCTCAGGTAGTCCAAAGAGCCCTTAATTCTGCAGCTAACAACGTGTATCAGTATGGACGAGAATGGATAACCCACAAGGTAAGAGAAGAGCCTCTTTGTGGCTTTTTCTTTGCAAGGTCTTTATTGGTGGTGATTTCTTGCTTTGATGAAGCATACTTGGAGATTATGTTTAGAATAATTTTCATTTTGAAATATATCTACAAGTCGACAAACAACATACACTGAAATTAAACCTGGGTAATTATACTGAATAGTGCTAGTAGCCTGAACAAACATAGTTGGCCATTCAATTCTCATTCAAGATAGATATGATTCATTGTTTGTGCATTAGGAAGGAATGATCACTAAACTTGGTGGTCAAATAAGGCTCTGGGATGGAGTATTGGGGCATATTACATTTTATTATTTGATATCTGGGCTTTGCAGTTTCTGATTTGTTTTCTTTTCAAGAGAGCTGCAGTAATCTGAATTATTTTGCTTACTTACAGATGAAGAACCAACACAGTAAGCCTAGGTAAATTCCCAGTGGTCAGGTAGTGAATTGCAGAGCTTGGTCAAACTGCTGAAGACTGATTCCAAATTTTTTGCTCTTTCTTATTGTAGTATGCTGGAAATGTGTGCCTGGATCTGAGGGTTAAATGCTTTAAAATGGCAGTTGAAATAAACCTTGAAGGAATGATAGGTCTTGGATGAATAAAGAGGAGGAAGAGTGTATTTTAAGAAGAGCTATTTATGTAAGCCAGGGTGTAGAAGTACGAGTGTGTTTGAGGAGACGAGCTTGACTAAAGCTTTGGGAAGAGGAAAGGAAAGATGGAAAAATACCGCTGTTGTGGTGAAGGGTCAGATCCCATGACATGGATTTGGGGTGTTCTTTCTTACCCCTCGTGCAGTCTGTGGGAACGAAGATAATTTGAAGTTTTAATGCAGTGAAGTAATTAGGATCATTTAGGGACTGATAAAATTGGTTGCAGTGAGATACATGCCCAGAAAAAAAGGGCTAGTATGTGACTCTGTGTTCAAAAGTCAAAACAAGTCTCAAAAAAGAAAAGTTATCTTGAACATTATACTGTACGCATGTATATAGTAATGCACTACCTTAAGGATAGAATTGTGGTCAAGTTAAGAGAAATACATATATTATCGATTTTCTTGAGTCCATAACAGATAATCAGTCAGCACAGGGAAGTCTTTGATAGCCAGGTAATTGAATTGATCTGTGCATGGTAGTCTTTAAAAACCATTATTGAAAAGTTTTAGGGATATAGATCTCCAAACTGGCACAGAAGGAAGATCCAACCATTGCAGAATGCGTTTAGTCTTCCAGAAATGTTTTGGCTGAGTTACTATGTTGAAAGCATGGTGTTTAGTTCTTTATTTACCTGTTTGGGAAAGATTTTTATTCTGGAATTCTTAACTGTTTGGGAAAAGGATAAGGAAAGGGAATTTGAGTAACTAAAGAAATGTGACTTAGATTTTAAAGAAGTAAATTTTAAATTACTTAGAGAAAAGATAAGTTTGAAACCTTTAGCTCAAAGTTCTAAAAGCTGAGGTAGTTGAAAAGAGATGGGCATTATTAACCAAAATTGTGGGAAAAAAAAAACAAAAAAAATTTGTGATCTTGACTTAGAAGACAGAGGGATGATATCTAAAAGCAGCCACTGAATGTCCATCAGCAGCTGAATGGGTAAATAATATGCGGTATATCCACTTAATTTGGCCATAAGGAGGAACGAAGGACTAATAGATTCTGTATCATGGATGGACCTTGAAAACACTGTGCTGAGTAAAAGAAGCAGCCCTAAAAGACCACGTATGTGTGCTTCCATGTGTATGAAATGTACAGAAGAGGCATGTCTGTAGAAAGTGAAGTTGTGGTTCCCAGGGCAGAAGGGTTTGGTGAGAAACGGGGGAGTGATTGCTAATGAGTGTGGAGTTTTTTGGGGAGGGTGATGAAAATGTTCCCAAATTGATTGTGGTAATGGTTGCCTAACTCAGAATATCCTAAAAACTATTGACTTATACACTTTAATGACTAAATTGTAAGGCGTATGAATTCTATCTCAATAAAGTTGTTTAAGAAAGAAGACCCATTGTAATTGCAGAGGTAGCTTTCTAATAAGCTCAGAACTTACACAGCTAAGAATCATGTTAGAACCTAGTCCTAAGAGCTGAAGCTAGAAAAAAACGCCATGCTCAGAAAAGGAAAAGACTTTTTTGGGGAGCGTTTAAGTTTGAATAGAGAAAGCTCCTGTCTTTCCGCCCCTAGGCGGCTTAGTCAGCCCTGTGCCATCTGTCCCCTGTGCTTTGTTTGGTTTCTCCTCACAGCGTGCTTTTTTCTCAGCATCAAGTTCACTTTCTTCACTCACCATCCTTGTCTGAGCCATCCTTTCTGCTTGTTGTGCCCATTCTAAAATTTACACCTGAAGGTGCTGCCCTAAGACAGCAAGAGCATAAATGATGTGTTTGCTCTGTCCCTTCTCCCGTGACTCGAGTGAAGACAGTGACAGCTAGTTCACAAACGTGCGGGGCACTGTTGCAAGTGCTAGGGGAAAAGCAGTAAGCCAGAGAGTTACCACTCTCCTGGCGCTTGCACTCTGGTGAGAGGAGACAGACCGTAAACATGTAAACAGATAAACTCAGATCTAAAAGTGCGGTGATCAAGGTAAGCAGATAATGTGGTAGAGAGTGCCTCGGGGTGGTGCCATAGCCAGGACGGCCAGAGAATGTCTGAGGTGATGTTTCACTAAGATTCGAGTGATGAGGAGGTGACAGTTTGTGAAGGTCTGGAAAAATAATGTTTCAGGCTGAGGAACAACACATTCAAAGTCTCTGAGATGGGAGCAAGCTGCGGGGAGGGGAACAGGAAGGCCAGTGTGGCTGCAGTGGTGAACATGATGACGCGACAAGCTGTAGGTCATGATAAGAAGTTGGGATTTTCTTGTAGTTACAGAGGTAAAAGTTAATGGATTTAAAACAGAAACCTGATTTAGGATATAGACGACTCATTTGTGCTGCCTTATGGGGAAGGGGGCAGGGGTGGAGAAGGCCGGGAGACCAGTTAAGAGATTATTATGTTGGCAGTCCAGGCGAAATGTTGGTGACTTGGACGAGGACTGTGGAAGTGGAGATTCAGATAAATGGTCCTATCTGGGATATTTTGAGGTTGTTATGAAAACCTCAAAAATCCACGAGGAATTACAGATTAGAATGGAGTGAAAGGGAAGGAAGATTTTGGTTTGCTGAACTCGGGCAGGTGTGCCACTTACTGAGATGGAAGAGCTTGGTGGAAGAGCTTGGAGGTGGTAGTGGGGTATAGGTGTTACAGATAGACCAGTACTTCTGCTGGGGCTGTATAATGTTTGAGATACCCACTAGATATCTAAATAGAGATATCACAGAAGGCAATCGGACATACATAGCTGGAGCCCAGCAGAAAGACCTGGCTGTAGGTGAAGGCTTGAGTGTCCTCAGATGGCACTCATCGGGTTGGATGAGATGGCTTGCATTGGTTTGCTGGGGCTGCCATAACAGAGTACCACGGACTGGGTGGCTTTCACAACAGAGCTTGTGTTCTCATAATTCTGGAGGCTGGAAGTCCAAGATCAAAGCGTCAGCAGGACTGGTTTCTTCTGAGGCTTCTTTCCCTGGCTTGAAGATGTCTCGTGTCTTCACGTGGTCTTCCCTCTGAGTATGTCTGTGTTGTATTCTTTTTCTTTCTTTAATAAGGACTGGATGGGGGCCCCTCCTGGTGACGTTATTTTACCTTATTTACTGCTTTACAGACCCTGCCTCTAAATAGCCATATTCTGAGGTGCTGGGTTAGGACTTCAACATGAATATTGGGAGGGGGCCCAATTCAGCCCACAGTAATGGCCTAAGGAGAGAGTGTAGGTAGAAGAGAATCAGAGTTAGACGCCTGGAGCACCTCAGGTCCTCGAGGCAGAGAAGACTGAGGAGGAGTAGCCTGTGAGGTAGGAGGGAAACGAGACTGGGTGTGTCACCGAGGCTGAGAGAAGGAACTGTTGCAAGATGGACTTGGTCAGCTATGCAGATGCCACAGACTTCACGCAAGATGAGTACCAACTTATCCCCACTTCATGGATGAGGTTGTTCGCCTTAAGTCAGTCAGTTCTCAAATGGCATTCTGACTGCCCTTAGTGCGTCCTTGTTTTTCATGTTTAAAGAGTATATCTTGTTGTCACCAACAGTATGTATGCTTTAGTGATTCTTTTAATAACAGTGATGCGTGTATTAGACGCTCTGCTCTCTGGCCAGTCTTCTTGCAACTTGCAGTGTGTATTGCAGTGTTGCAGGACAGTGTTCTAGGTCTGTAGTGTGCTGCTATGTTGATGGCACCATGAATGAGAAAAGAGCGTCTTACAATATGCTGTAAAATTGTGCTGAGCTCCGCTTTCCTGTTATCGTGGTTGTATGTCAGGTATTCGCTGTTGTGCTGCAGTGGGACTGCTAACGCAGAGGTCAGTTTGAAGTGGGGCTGTATTGCCATAGAGGCCACTGTGCAGACAGTCTGGAAAAGAGGCTGTCGGTAGCTGCTCTCGGCCTCTTCTGGTTAAAGGGCGATTTCAGAAGCTGATAGGAAAATGATGGAAAGAATTGGTAACAGAGAGTTTGGGAGTATCTGACAGTCATAATATATAAAATATAAATCTAAAGAAACTAAAGGAATTCAGACCAGTGGTAATTGTGCTTTTTAATTGTTCATAGGTTCTAAGGCAGTGGTTGGAAGAACCGTAGAGAACTTGTAATTCTGACTCTGCCATTTGGCCGCATAGCCCTGGGCCTATCATAGATCCTTTCTAAATCTATTTTCTCAAAAGAACAAGGTGGCAACAAAACTATTTTCTCTCTAACGTAAAGTTGTAAAGATTACATAATGTAGTAATGAAAGCCATTTGTAAATTGTAAAATGTAATGAAAGATAAATGGCTTTGCTAGTCACTGATTTGTGTTTGGTTTATGAATAAATCAAATAAATATAAAGGAGAACATTCGGCAGATACATTTGCACTGAACGTGTCTAAGAACTGGTTTAAGTATTTATAAGGCCAGCATCAAGATGGCAAAAGGCCACACAAAGGGAAATACACATTGAAAACCAAGATGGAAAATGGTCACTCTTTTCACTAGAGAAGAAAAGGATAAATAATTAGTGTTTCACACCAGTTAAATTATCTGAAAGTTTTATCAGTTGTCTATAAGGCTTTGGGAGAATTGGTTTATTTATATGATGTTGGAAAGTATTAATTGGTATAATCCTTATAGAAGACAATTTAACAATGTATAGCAAGAACCATTAAAATGTTCATGTCCTTTGATTCCTGCACATTTATCTTACTATTAGAAATAAGAAAAAATACCAGTTTAAGGAAGTTCATTGCAATGTCACTTGTGACATTAAAAATTGGGAACCATCTATATATCCTGTGATTTGGTAATTATTAAATAATAATATCAAAACTTAGTAACTATTGAAACCATTAAAAGTAAAGGTGAAGGTCAGTGTTGAAGACAAAATATGAAATCCTTACAATGTGAAATATAGAATTGTAAATTATGTCTATGTAAACAGGCAGAAAGTTACAAAGAAAATGAAAATGAAGGAAGTTGCCAGTTTTATTAAGTAGAGTGGGGCTACAAATCAGTGCTTATCCCTTAAAAAGTGTCTTTAATGTTACCATATGGTTTTAATAGCACATAAAATGTTGAATAAGATTTTTTTTTAAAGATTTTATTTATTTATTTTTAAAGGAATATTTTTAATGGAAAGTGGTCACTCTTTTCACTAGAGAAGAAGAAAGAGAGAGAAGCAGAGGGAGAAAGAGAGAGAAGCATCAGTGTGTGGTTGCCTGTCCTGCGCCCCCTACTGGGGACCTGGCCTGCAACCCAGGCATGTGTCCTGACTGGGAACTGAACCAGCAACCCTTTGGTTTGCAGGCCAGTGCTCAATCCACTGAGCCACACCAGCCAGGGCTGGAATAAAATATTTTAATAAATAACCTTTCTCTAAGTTATCACAAATGTACTTAATTCCCATACATCTTGAAGCCAGTCTAGTCACTCACAACTCTGAGACCTGATATCTCTCAGCAAGCTAATGGAAATATTTACTTTTAGAGCTAAGGTTCTAAAATATCACTTAAAAGTTCTGTGACCACTCTTAACAACAGTGATAAGTGTAACAGGAGATTTCTGTGTAATGGATGGGCTCTGGGTCACATGGAAAGCTTTTACTCTGGGCAGATGTGATCAGAGGAGTCCATAATCATGGCTTTATCTGTACCATTTTTTCCTACAGCCTGAAGTGGCTCTCCTAAGCACCTAGTGATAGAGGAAAGAAAAAAAGAAGTAAAAGCTGAGAGAGAGGAAATTTACTGGGAATACTGAAGAGCAAAGTTTATGAAAAGAACATAATGTGGCTAGAGGCAATTAAATAGTCTGGAACATTTCAGTTTGATTTGGAACAAATGTGAAGACCCAGAGTATATTCATTTTACTGTAATATTGCCTGAAATATTAAACCAGATTGTATCTGTCTGTGTTTCTTCCAGCTTCATAAAATTCTTGGAGATAAGGTGAACAATACTGCTGTGATTGAAAAGCAAGTACTAGAACTTTGGGACAGACTGTATCATTCTTGGTTTGTAAAGGTAAGTTATTTTACCTAAGGATTTCAATGGTAAACTAATAAGAGTCTTTTTATTTTAGAGACCCAGTAACTAGATAGGATTGTGTTAATACTGAGGTTTCCTTTATTGAAATTTTTAAGCTGCAAGTTCTAAGCCTTAGGTCACTAAAAGTCAGAGTGAGTTAATGGTTAATCTCCAAGGGAGAACCTATCAGTCCCTCTGGTGTCTCAGTATTCCGTCTTCTGTTCGTGATCATCAGTAGCTTCTCGTCGTCTAGACTAGCTGTGTGCAGGAGAAATGTAATGCAAGCCAACTAATGTTAACTTTTCTAGTGGCTGCATTTAAAAAAAAACAAACAGGTAAAATTGTTTATTCATATCTCTTTCAAATCTGGTTATTCCTGCGTTCCTGCCAATGTAATTCTCTTCCAGACAGACAAGTTAGATTCCCCCTTGTTTCTTTTTCATATTCTTTTTCCTTTGATATTTTAGTGAGAGGTAATTGGTACATATCATTGTATTAATTTTAGGTGAACTTTTTCGTATTCGTCTCCCTCCCCCACCCCTCTCTTTATGTTTTGTGGAAGATTAATAAGGGAGATGAGGAAAGGAGGGGAAAAGCAAAAATGAGAGACTAAGAAAAAGGTAGAGGGGCTAAAAAGGAGGGGGAAAGTGAAGGTAATGCTGTAGTTGTGTGCAGTTGAAGAATACACAGGAATAAAGGGTGTTCACAAATGTGCTTAGGAGAGAAGCACGTGAGCTGGGCCGAGACTCAGTAGCATGAAAATGGAAAAATATATCTTTCATGTGTTTAGGTGGAGTTCTTGATTGATTTCTTAAAGAATGCAGAGTTTCTCACTTTTGTGTATTTACTAAAGTGCTGTCAAGTGGACCTAAAACAAAATAGGTTATTTATACTTTCTATTCTTTAGGTTAAGATGGAGATCTCATGTGTGAACTGTTTTATTCCATAGAACGTAACCCATTCTGGAAGGCACAAAGGACACAAGATGCACATAAGTCGTCAGAATAGCTGGCTGGGAGACATTCTGGACTGGCAGGATGTCGCGTCCTTCATCCACGAGAACATTGAGACATTTCTTTCTGTAAGAAGTAGTATTCACAGTTAAGCTGGAGTTAGAAGGAAACAGAAACACTGATTTCCAGTTTTGTTTGTACACTTAAAGGTTTTTAGTTACCATACCCTGTTTTCAATGCCACAGCATTTGCAGTTTTATTTATTTATTTTAATCCACACTTGAGGGTATGTTTTTATTGATTTTAGAGAGAGAGGAAAGGGTGGAGAAAGAGAGAAAAAAAAGAGAAACAGAAATATCAGTGTGAGAAACATCAATCAATTGCCTCCTGTATGTGCCCTGACTGGGGTTTGAACCTGCAACCTAGGTATGTACCCTGACTGGGAATTGAACCCACATCCTTTTGGTTTACAGGATGATGCTCCGACCAACTGAGCCACCTGGCTAAGGGCAACATTTGCAGTTTTGAAAATTCTCAGTGAACTAGAAAGATGTTCAAAAGCCATAGACCTCAGGTGCAGCTGCCCTGATGTCTCCTTTGTGACAGAAGAATAACCAAGAGATGCTGATTCTGGGATTGGTGCCCTCATCCCCACAGGCTGACCAGAATGTCCCCCCAGACCCCTGTTTTCCCCCCAGTCCCAGAAGGAGCTGTTTTTTTGTTTTTGTTTTCTTTTTGACAAGCGAAGCCCTTTGGCAGATGGAAATACAGTTTTCCCCCCATGCACCATCTACCTCTGCCTTTTCTACAACGAAGGGAAGTCGGCAAGGAACAGCTAGCAGGTGTTGCTAGGTTTTAATGACAGCTCCTCATCCATAGTGTACCTTGTGGGGTGTCTCAGCCTGTGACTTCTTGCAGAGATGAGGAGAATGTTAGTGAATATCTTTGGGACTTTCATCAAGTTAATGAAAGTCAGGGTTTGCAATGCTGGATTTTTTTAATTTAACTTTTATGGAAATAATAGATGATCATAGCCAAAAACTAAAAAATGCTTTAAGATTTTAAATTAAAAAAAAAAGAAGCAATGCCCAACTCCGTACTTCACTTCAGTCTCATTTTCCAGAAACAACTGCCATTTTTAAAAATTTTTTTATTTTACATTTATTGAATTTATTGAATTTATTAATCAAGGTTAATAAATTATATACTAGTATTGCCCAACAGCTTTTTCTTACGTTCTATGAACCTTCCTTCCAAACCCCCTTGAATACACAGAAAGGTTACTTGATCTTGGCAACTACCAGTCTCCAATTAATGAATTCAGTTAATTTCTTAAGCATTACCACAGGGCATTCCCTATCAATGTGACCCAGAAACTATTCAAACTCTTTTTTGATAAAAATTCCAAAATGACTGAGACTCCCAAAAGAATGCTTGTCAAACTCACAAGTAAGGGCATTGTTGGTTTGTTTTTTGGAATCAGTGCTATTATTCATCCATTCCTTTACCCCACAGGGTCAAACAGTCAGTCATGCATATTTTTGTAGGCATTGTGAAACATTTTCAAGATTTTATGTAAGGAGTTTTTGTAAACGAAACCCATCTGCCAAAGTTCTCTTAGGAAGACTGAGCTGAGGTTTGCAAGAAATGCCGTGGACAACAAAATGTGCCTTTATAAGTGGCGCATTTGAGGTAGGAAAGGACTGGGTAGGCCTTTCACAGCACAGATGGTATAACTTGAACGTCTGACAAAACACAGAGCTGCAGTTTTGGAAAGGGCACCAAAGTGAAATTAGGCGTTGTGAGTTCTGGTCCTGGCTCCAGTTCCACGTATTAGCAGCTCCCGGCCCTCCGGCAAGTTTTTAAAGAGCTCTGAGCTGCAGTTTGCCTATCTGTGAATAAAGATGTCCTCTGCATTTCTTCTCGTGTGTTGTTGTTGTTGTGAGGTTCATGGGAGTATTTTGAAAATTAAGGGGAAGTGTTTTTTTGATAATTTTGCTTCCACGTTTTTAATTACTTGGGGAGAATTGAATAGACATCTTAAAGGAATTTAGATTTATGAAGAAATAGGAAATGAAAACATGTAGGTGTGCTGTAGATACTATACATCTTCCTTTAGTCATATTTAACATACATTAATAGCCTTTATTTTAATACCTGGTTGTAGTAAACTTGCAGGTGGTGGAGTGGTTGAATCAGGAGGTCTTAACATAAGGGTCATCAGCTCTGTGAGAAACGATCTTGCGCTGCAGAGCTCTGCCCTTGGTCCTCCCTGTTCATTTCTTCTACTGTGATTTTCGTGAAGATGCTTTGGTAGTTGTAGATGAAGCCAAGTTGAAGGTGGCAAGAGGGGAGGAAGCTAATAAGACAAATGCTAGATTTTCATGACCACATTCTGAGCCTACAAGCTAAGTATAACCACAGGTTGCATTTTGACATATTCTCCTATGGGTATTTTTTCTGTGCACAGTCATTTTTACATCATCATAATCATGCTATGTATAAAGTTTTCCTATCCTGTTTTTTAAACTGAGCATTTTATCATAAAATACTTTCCTATGCTATATAATAGAGATGGTTTTAATGGTGGCCTAATATTATAGCTTCACCATAATTCACTTAATCATTTTCTTCGTGAGACCGTCGTCCCAATATGCCAAGGTTGCAGGTTCGATCCCCAGTCAGGACATATTCAAGACTCAACCAATAAAATATCAACAAATGCATCAATAACTGGAACAACAAGCTGATATTTCTCTCTCCCTCCCTCCCTTTCTCTCTGTCAAATCAGTAAATTTTTTAAAAAATTAAAAATAAAAAGCACACTATATACCTGTAGAAATTTCTTTCCTGAGGATTAGTTCTGATACTGTGTTCCCTCCCAGATCCTAGAGTCTCTGTGGATTGTGATGAGCCGGAACGTGAGCCTGCTTTTCACCACCGTCACTACACTCCTGACCATCCTCTTCTACAGCGGGACGGCCCTTCTCAACTTCGTGCTGTCCCTGGTATGTACGCGCAGATACGAACACATCACGTTTCCTTCCACAGGAAAGCATCGTCTTGGTTCCATTTGTGTTTCCTTCCTATAATTTCCAAATGCGATTTTTTAGGAGATACTGTCCTTTGTTTTGCAGATAATTTTCCTGACCACACTATTTTATCTATTAAGTTCCAGTGATGAGTACTACAAGCCAGTGAAGTGGGTGATAAGCCTGACACCACTCTCTCAGCCAGGTCCTTCTTCTAATATTATTGGCCAGTCTGTGGAAGAAGCTATCAGGTAGGGATAAGATTCATGCAATTCTTCCTTCCTTCAGAATCTCCTTCCCACCAGAAGCCTGTTTTCTGTCTTGAGCCTTCCTGGTAACATTCAGTGTGAAAGTAGTGAGGGAGCCAGTGTCTTCAAAATTTTTAATCTCCTTTTGTGAGAATAATATGAGCAGTGCAGATGTTGATAAGAAAAAATTTCAAAACAGCTTCAATATCCTGTTCTCCAGCCTGTGGTTTACAAAGACTTAATGGCCTGTCCCCATTCGTTTCCTCCTCAGGCTCTTGCTTTAGCTGCTAATCATTATGGCAGTTGCTCAGGAAAGCCCTCCTCACACACACGTACACCTCGCCTCCTCTCAGAACCCTTCTGTTCTCAGGAAGTCCGGTGAGGCTCAGGTGGCCTCCCTGTTTCTTCCTCTCGCCCCCTGCAGCCAGGCTGGGCCCTCTGCAGCCAGGCTGGGCCCGCTGCAGGGGCTAAGTTGGATACTAGAGCGATGCAAAGTTTTTGGTTATCTCTTAAGTCTTAGGCTCTGTGTGTGTTGCTGGTTCTGTCCAGAAACTTCCATCATGTCTTCTGGGGTCTGTGTATTGCAGGCTTGGTTTCTGAATGAGATGATTCTTCAATATTTATTCTTCCTGTGCCCTCTCCAGGTGACTGTCTCTTGCCCCCCTTTTACTTTTCCCCCTCATCATTTTCAGTAGGGAGAGACTGAAGGTCTGCCTTTGTCCCTCATTGCTCTGACTTTATCATTAACACTTGACTCCGTTTTTACTTTTTATGAATAGCTGCTCATAGTAAATTCTCATGTTATCCATTGGTGCTGCTTTTTCTAATTAGTGGTTAGCCAGTTGGTTGTAATTTTCTCTTGAATTGCGGATCTTTGGCTGGCATTTTTGTTTCCACATATTTGTAAAAATTACTATGCTTGGAACCAATCTTCTGCAGAAATCTTAATTTGACCTGATAATCCTGTCTGACTGAGCTTGGCTTATTTTTTCACTGTACTCATGTAACAGTTGGTAAAGATGCCCCTTTGAGCTTTGGAAAACCCTCTTACATTTAAAAAGGATGAGTGCAGCTGAAATATCTTCTCTCTGGAAACTTTGGTAGGTTTTCTGACGTTTTCCTGCCAGCAAAGCCTGGGTGAAGTCTTCATCGGTATCTTGCTTCCTTGATTAGACATCATTTTTTTGTTTTGAATTTTGAAAAAAGTCCTCATCTTCTCTGGTGCCCTTGGGTATCATAGGGCCCAGCCATGTAAATATTCCAAGTTTGGGAGCTTTCAGGGTGAAGCTATTCTTCACAAAGAACTTACTGGCTTTAATTTAGCATGCCTTCTAATCCTGTGAGACTGTTAGTTACCATCTTTATTGAGTAAATGAACAATGAAACTCCAGCAGTAGAGTAATTTTAGTTTATCTAAGTGACATCTGACTCAAAAAAAATTACCAAAAAGGAAAATAACCTTCTGTCTTCCCAATGGAATAAAGCTGTTGAATCCGCCATCTCAAAGCCTGGCAGAATCCTCTATAGTCAGTGTGGCTAAGCCAAGCTTTACAGAAAAATGTCTTCCTTGTTTATAAAGAACTTCAAGACAGATGATACTGTATTTTCCTAAAGTAATCTTTATTAGCACTGGCTCTTACTCTCACAAAAGTTTTTCTACCTTCAAATCTCAGTGTTTGAAATTTTTCTTGTTCTGGTTTCTTTCTTTCTTATTTGTTTGTTTATTTATTTTTAGGGGAGAGGGTACGGGAGGGACAAAGAGAGAGAGAGAAATATCTATATGTGGTTGCCTCTCATGCACCCCCTACTGGGGACTGGACCTGCAACCCTGGAATGTGCCCTGACTGGGAATTGAACCACCGACCCTTTGCTTCATAGTCTGGTGCTCAATCCACTGAGCCACACCAGCCAGGGCTAGTTCTGGTTTCTTAGAGTGAACCACTTGCTGACCATCCTCTGAATGTTGGTCGTTGAATCACCTCTTTTTCATGGCATGTTTGGTATGAAAATCAAGTTATCTTTTGTTTTAAACTCAATTTTTCAATGTCATCGTTGCTTGGAACTGGTAAGCAGGGCTGTGGCCTGCACCTAGGTGCAGCTGATTGAAAGCTCATTATCCTTCTGGTATACCATGGTACCTTCTTCCAGGAGGAGCTGGCTGGGGGAGAACATCGTGAGTTAAATTTGTGGTTCTGTTAAGACTGTCAGTGGACACATGAAATTGACAGCTAAACATTCAGGTCTTTGGCTCAGGAGGGAATTTGAAATTAGAAGAGTGTGGTCATCTACAGGTATACTAGGAAATCAGTGTCTTTCTACAAATTAGATTTGCCTTATTATCTTGGGTTCGTACACACTAATCACTCACTCTTAGCGGTAGCCCTTGTCTTGGTTCCAGAGTGTACTTGGACAAAACCCATTTATTTTATTATCTTATTTTTAATACAGAAAATTATTTTTAATAATCCTTAGTACCAGAACTAAAATCCTAATGGTTGTCAAAACTGATAGTTTTTTGTGAGTCTGAAAATAATTATGCAGACTAGAGAACTTGTTACAGCCTGGGCCATTTTTCTAACCACTGCTATTTCAAGTTACATAAATTAAAGGTTATAATTCAGGGTGGTTTTAAGCGGTCTATGTGCTTTGGGTCTATTTTCATCTTTACTGGGTCAAATTTAAGACTTAAATAAAAATGTACAAGTTTAACATCGATGCCTTTCAAGAATCCTGTCTTGTGTATGAGAACAGTGGGTTCAAGTTCCTCAGTGCTCTTGTCCAACTTTTCATTCTGAATGACTGTGTTCAACATGGAATATATTTCTTTCTGGAGAAGCACTTTAAGTGGAAAAATATTATATGAATGATTATGAAAATATTACTATAGTGTCCTGGGCATGTAATTTAGTTTGCAAATTATTAGCAATATCAGTAAGCAATTGTAGTCATTATCGACGTTGCAGTTAAGCCGGTCATTAATGTCATTTTATATTTATTAATGTATTAATAAATTAAAAGTGGAATTGAAATTGAGAGTTATTGTGCATGACTAGACAGTGAAAATGTCTTTGTTTTTCAAACTTTGCCTTTTGAAATACATGGCTACTTTGTAATCACTGTCTCATTGAATTTTTGAAATTTAGTTGTTTTGCAAGCCTGAATAAGCACTCTAAATGAAACACATTTGTGGTTGAGTTTTCATTTCATGAACTTTTGAGTGAGTGGCATGCATCCTTCATCCCCAAACCATTCTCCCACCCTTAGAGCATGTTGAGTCCTGAATGTTTGCCTCGCACCCTTCCTCCCCGATGCTCCCATTCTGCTTGCTCTGGTGGAGATATTGCACATTACTAAGTTGCATGTTTCACGGCCTCAGTGCAATTTAGTGTGTGTGATATTTTCACATGAGTGCATGCACACGGGTATGGCTCTTGCTTGTGGGATCACAGCTTTCGGTGCCAGTGGGTGGGACTCCTGCTGATGAATTTGATGGGAGAATGTATGTATTGTGAGATTTTCATTTGGAAAGTGAACATGCTTCCCCCTCTTATCCCTCAGTTTTGTTGGATTAAAAGTACTTGGTCTTTAACAAAATCAGCGTTGGTAATTTAGTAAATCAGTATTTCCATTTTTTACTTGGAGCAAATTAAATGTTCATTGGAAAGATTCTTATGGATTTAAGGTGGGAAAAACATATGTTTAAATTAAAGTGTATAAGGAAGAGTTTAAAGCTGTTAGAAAATGTATTTTCATCTATTTGAAGAGATATGTCCCTTAACATCAGATTGAGAGACGGAATCTCTTATGCATAATTAAGAAATTAAATTAGAGATCTTAAATAGTATCAGTAATAATGAATAATTATTACTTTAATTTATAATTATAAATTCTAATTAATTTTAATTTAATGACCTAATAATCAAATAATCAGTAAATATAATGCCTATTTAACCTACCTGATTAAAGATCAGTCTAATAAACCTAATCTTTTACTTCCTTAAGTTTCCAAGGAAAATGACCTTAAGAAACTTTGCCTTGTATTTAGTTTCTCATTGTGTTGCTTTAAATATTACTAAATTTATTTTAATAGGGTTATACTAGAATTAGTGTTGAGATACAAATGTTTGCTGTTTGCTCTTTGCCTATATTATTGAAACAACCCCTTGTTAATTATTTGCTTAGCATTGGAGAAAGCATCTGTAATGACTACGCATTGTTGAAGACACAAAACCATGCATTAATGAGCTACAACTACTGACTTAATATTCCTGAGGCCAAGGTCTCTGGGTGATCGAATGTGATGGCACTGGAGTGTGCTTGTGTGTGTGACCTACTGTTTCCAGTGGGAACGGAAGGTCTCCATGTTAGCGCCTGCTCCCCGGGCCCCTCCGCAGTGCTCCAGGCCTGCACGCACACGCAGTATGACCATTCCTCTCCGGACTGGGAACCCCCAGCATTCACCAGGTTTTGGTACATTTTACTGAGGCGGACGAGCCAGGAAAGGGAAGGAGATAGAACTTCTCAAGAGGTTAGGAAGTAATGAAGGGAGCTGGGGGGATCCCTTTTCCAGCTGGTGATTTTATACGGTAGTCTTCCCCTTATCCTAAGTTTTGCTTCTCATGGTGTCAGTTACCTGTGGCCAACCGTGGTCAGGAAATACTACATGGATAATTCTGGAAATAAACAATTCGTCGGTTTTAAATTGTGTGTCGTTCTGTGGAGTGTGATGAAATCTCACGCTGTCTTGCTTTATCTTGCCTGGGTTGTGAATCAGCCCTTTGTCCAGTGTGTCCACGCTGTGTGTGCTCCTGCCGTGAGCCACTTAGCTCCCTTATTGGTTATCAGGTCGGCACTTGGGGTGTGGCAGTGCTTGTGTTCATGTCACCCTTATTTTACTTAAAATAATGGCCCCAAAGCACAAGAGCAGTGATGCTGGCAGTCTGGACATGCTGAAGAAAAGCTGTAAAGTGCTTCCTTCAAGTGAAAAGGTTGTATGTATAGGA